GTTGTATGGGGGGTTTCCCCTCCAACAGCAATGAATCCAGACGAACCCCAGGCACCTCCATATCAATAAAAAGGGGTTCATTAATCCGGGGTCAACATTATGTGAAACGCCCTTTGCGATGGCGTATGAGTGGCAACTCTGCGGTGGTTTTCAATGCACCGTTACGGCACGGCCTAAGGAGGCCAAGCAAAGAAGGATCCAGTTTTGTGCTTGCCCCAACCTGTTTTCATCGGGCCCGGAAGGCCAAGTCGAGGTCAATCGCCCCGGTTTGGGGAAAAACTAAACGGGCGGCAGCGATTCGTGTGGTGAGTCCGTGCAGCAAAGTTGCGCCTTAGGCCAGCGCGGCTGGCATGGCCTTGGACAGGGCCACAGATTGAGCTGAGCACTGGTTTCGCCTATGCCGGCTATTTTCTCTATTTGGTTTTAAAGGGACTCAATCACTGCTTTCTTTTTTTTCCAGGGGATGGTTTGTATCCATCTAAGTGCACCCAAGAGATCCGTTGGTCCACAATGAGGAGGGGAATGAGTTGCAGCTATGTGAAATACGTTGTTGTTCTGGCTTGATTTGCTGAAGTACGGGTTGATGGTGATATGAGATATGTACATGTTGCATATTCACATACTTATACGTACATATGTGTATATATGTATATAATATATGTACAGTGTGTTCGCACGTTATGTGATATGTGTGTTAAGTGCATCGTCCTACTTGAGCACTTAAGTGAGCACATGTCTTGCTTGCTCAGGTCATAGCAACTCTGCGCCCGACATGATGGTTGCCACCTCAAGCGGTTCAGCGATTCACAGAAGACGAGTCGAGTTGGACAGCTTTCGAGAATTGCCTGAACCTGTACCCACTCATGCGCATAGGTGTCCTTGGTTGTTTTGCCAGAACTAGATGGCGATTCCTGGTTTAGCAGGTGTTTAACCTACTTGGGAAAGCCATCTATTTCCCCAAGGCCTTGAGCCTTGCTGAGAGCGTTGTTTTGCTTATCAGCTCTTGTCTTTTGAGGGCCGCAGGCTCTCAAGCATGGCAGGGATGTTTGTTTTCTGTTCAGACGGTTTTTGTTGTTTTTTGTTTTTCCCCGGGGCGATGCCTAGAACCTCAGATTTTCAGCTTCCAGATTTTGGCTGCCGCTTCCTCGGTTTTTGGAATTACCGCTGGCTTCTTTGAGGCAAAGACTTGGCATCCATCGGCCTGGGCCCTGAGAAATCGGCAGCTTCAGATGCTTTCGCGGAAGCAGCTTTGATGCATGCCTGAAATGGCTCGAAGCCAAACGGTGCCAATCAGTCACTTAGTACAGTGTTGCCTGTGACAAGCAACCAAGGGCCCTTTGGAGCCCTTGCACAATGCCCGGGGGCCAAGTCACAACTGGGTGTCGATGAATTGAAGTGCCGACAGCAACGGTCTGACTAACATACTTGGCCTGATTCGGCGTTGCGCCGTTTGTGAAGTGTGACCACTGCCTTTGTCTGTTCCAGACGTTAGGGGTCAAGGAATGCAGACGCTTCGCCTGAGATGGGTCAGTAGAAAACCGCCAGGGAAGCCAAGCCCGGCCAAGCCCCAGATCGGAAATGAGAGGTCAAGAGCTCATGGCTCACCTGCAGTTAGCCCTGGCAGGCTTCTTGGCTTTAGCTTCTTTACCTCCAGAGGTGTGCAAGGCGTGTGTGAGGAGGTGGGGGGCGAGCTGCTGTTCGTGCCGTCCGGTGCCTTTTCTTTCGTGCTATATGTTTCCCATATGCCTCATTTGGGGGTTGATCAAAAAGGTCTGATGAAAATGGGATGACCACTGAAAGACGATATTTTCCACTAAATGAGCAACGTTACCCATGGTCATTTGGGGGCCAGAACAATTAACTAACCCCATGTATTCTTCATGTTTTGTCCGCGTAGTTTTTCCACCACTTCTCCTCATTTTGGTCTTGTCTTTTCCGCATTTCCTTGCCCAAACCGGGCAATTACTGCAATTCTGAAAGAGTCTTGGTCACGGGCCTGTCTTGGGTTTTGGGCGGTTTAAACATTGTTTAAACTATCTCTCGGCGCCGGTTGGGGGGATTCCTTGTGTGATGTTCAAAGACTTAGTAAAGCGAATCGAACCCACCTTTTCACCTTTGGGTTTTCCCGTGTTGGTCCATATTTGGACATGGCCCAAAAAAAGGATCACCTTCAGGGGCAACTGAGCCGAGAAAAACCACGGAGCCTTGCAGGCTGCTTCCGGGGTCTCTCCTTGGCAACGGCGGGTCTGAGGCCCCAAAGCCCAGCGACTCGCCCAAGTCCCAGGCTGGATTTGCTCGACTCAGCGGGATATTCCGTGGGTGTGACTGTACCATCTCCCCACTTTGTACCTCATCCTCCTGTATTTCCCTTTAATTTAACCATCCCCAACACGGGTTGGTGTCCTTGCGGTTCCCTTTGACAAAAAAAACCGTCTGAAAAGGGGGGGGGGCTGTTTTGAGACAGATGAATTGACAACATGGGCTCGATTTGAGGTCCAAAATGGCCCTTGGTACGCACAGAGGCTGATTCCGACAGAACCCCCGGCCCTTCGCACACAAATTTGCATTGCAAACGAATTACGTGCACTGCAGCTCGAAGCGGTTTCCTGTGCTGGACAGATGAAGCAGTTTGCAGACTGATTTGCAGCGTTTGGCTCGCCTGTGTGGTAGGCTGCTGACACAATGCTTATTTGGTCCCAGCTGCAAAGAGAGCCAGGCATGTTCCCTGCACAGAGGGCTTGTTTGATGCATTGCAAAAGCAGCTGCACCACTTGCGTCAGGGTTCAGCTGAAAAACATGCAGGGACTTTAGTGGCTGGAAACATTGAGACCTCTGATTCTTTGTGTTTTCTGAGTCAGGCCTTGAAGACTTGGTTTTTTCATTACAACGTACATAGTGGCTTTTCATTTGGCTTTGATGTTTGATGCGATAACCCTCACATGGTCCGCGCACGTTACTTGATCTCCATGTAAGTCATGCCCGCCAAAAGTGCTCCCAATTTAAGTTGATGACCGATTTTCTTGGTGGCCCTCAGCCGTCCCCTTAGCTTTTTAGGCTTTAGGGTTTAGTGGTAGTTTCCATTTAACCCACTAAAAGTTCAACTTTTAGCAGGGGATCTGAAAACGGGCAGCCCAGGTTTGCTAAGCTCAAGCCCACGTCAACTTCCAAAGGCTTTCGCCCACCCTCGCCGTGCAACCATGGCTCGGCCAAGCGGCCGCCGCTGGATCGCCACTCTGTTGGCGGTGCCTTGGGCGCCTTGTCTTTTGAAGTTTGTGGCCCAGTTCTAAGGGTTCATACCCCCAGTTTCGGGTGCTAGAACCAGCGAAACCTCAAACGAAAGGGCATGAATTTCCTTCCATCAGTGGCGGAATATGGAATATGTTTTAGAATGTTTAGTTGTTCCAGGGGACTTAAGAGGTGTCCCATTTTCTTGCGGGGGCCTGGAGCAGCCTGGGACTTGCTTGCCATGTGTTGTGATCGTTCAAACACAAGATCCCTGCGACGGCTTGACTTAGACCTTGGCCAGATCAAGCAGCAAGAATGACTTGCATGACAAATTCGGCTAAAAAGACGATCTTCCGGCGCTGAGGGTGACGCTTTTACCAACAAGTGAGCCACAATCAAACCCGGGTAGATGAATGTTCGGAAGGGACGATCCCAACCAGAAATAGCTGCGGCCGCCTTCTTAATTATTTGGTTCTGTATAGACCCTTTTTTATACCGCGTTTTGATGATGACTGTGAGTACCCTCGCAGGGGCTCAACTTCCAGCCCCGGACCTCAACCCGACTTGATCAAATCGGTTTTGGAGGACAGGGCCCTTGCGCTCGGAACTAGGGAAATAGGGACGGGCGGGTTTCACAGCCACAAAACACCTCAGTGTAAAGCTAGCGATTTTACCTTCAACGGACTTGATCGTATTGATATGAGTAGCCACGCGCAAAAGAAGATGGACATTTAAGGGAAACACTGATTTTAGTGTGTTAACACAAGTCCTGAATCAGGTCCCCCAGTAGTGCCGTTCTCCTACTAAAATAGACTACAGGGAAAAAACAAGGCATTTTTTAGTCTAAGCTTTTTTTAGTGGAGGACCCAGTGAAGGCTTCGCATGGTTTTGGGACGCGTTCAGGTCCTCTCCCCGGCCTTCGCAATACCCCGTGCCATGCTCCGGGCAGTGGCAGTGCCGTGGCTTTGGGGCTTGAGAGACGCTCCCGCGGAGGCTCAGGCGCTGCAGAGGGCGGAGCAGGGGGCGCCACTGGAGGTTTCTCCAAATGGCTTGTGACCTCCAGAATGTTAGCCTCGGAGTAAGTAGAACCCCTGGTTGATTCATAGGGGGAGTGTCCCCTTTTAGTGGGGCTTCAGACCACTTTTGGAGGGAACACCCCCCTAATAATGGGGCGGGTTTAGTGGTCCTGGGTCAACATTACCCGACAGAGGACCCCTGTTTGGAGAAACACCCAGTGACTGAACATGGCACATGTCAAGGTTGATTCAGCCTTTGGCGTTGCACCTTTGTTGATGCCCACCTTGATTCATGCGCATGTTGAGCAAACCAGGGTCATCTCAGCAGATTTCACCGTGTTTGGGGGAAGTGTTGTTCCTTGAAAGGAGGGAGTGTACTTGTTCTTATGGCGGTGCAACAACCCACAGGCCTGGAACAACATCGCCTAAACACATATGCTTTTCGGTTTAAGTTGAATCACACGGCACCTCACTGGGTGTGGGTAGCGATTCAAATGCTGCCAAGAGGGCGAACTTGCACTTGCGTCACTCCGCCGAAGCTTCCGGAAACTGCGAATCTTTCGCAGGAAGTGGGCAAAGGAGGCCCTGATCCAGCTCTCCAAAACAAGCATTGTGCACCCCAACTGGCCGAGCGCCTTGTCGAGCTTGCAAAACCATTCAAACACATTGCAGCTGCCCCAAATACATATTTCACAAGTGTTGGTTGTTGCTTCCATTTACCAGGGTGCCATTTTGGGTACCGATTTTTGAGCCTCATATATGGGGGTGGATCAAGCTGTTGAGGAAACACACAAAACACAATGAAATATTATACATTTGAAAACAAAAAAAAACAACAAAAAAACACTTCACATGGGATGACCATGTGGAAAACCACCAAAAACAACCATTCAAAATCCCACATGGGAAATTCCGTTGAGGAAAACCCAAAGCACACAAAAACACAGTGGAGGAAGCACACGACAACTCAAAAAAAGAAACATGGGAAGAAGTTCCTCTTGGTGCCATTGGCCTATTGAGCCTTGACTGCTATTGGGTTGGATCTTTAGACTTTATCTTTTGTGGAAATAACGGTGTTTTCCACTAAACCTCTAACAAGTCAAACTTTTTGCAGGGGGGTCAACAGCAAAGGAGCCACATGCCATTGGGTCCTCCGGTTGGGAGGTGAACGCGGGCCTCCGGAGCCTCACCCGGCGCAGCCGACCGCGCCCGGAGACGGGCGTGCAGATCAGCGGCGTGGGCGTCATGGAAGGCCGGGCGACGAGCGCCGTGTTTTGGGGGTGACGACAAGTGGAGCAAAGACATTCCCCACCCCCTTCAAAATGGAATTGGGGGTGGCGTGACCCCTGGAATTCCATTATGGGTTCCATTTTCCCTTTTGTGGGGAAGACTGAATAAATTGAATTTTGGGACCCCCACCCCCCTCCCCCTAAAGGTAGGGGGATAAGGACATAACCGATTCCAGGCGTTTCGCCCCCTACCAGGGTATACACACACACACACACGCGTTGTTTTTTGTGTTTTAATCAAGAGTAGGATCAATAACAACGACCAGTGGAGCAAAGACCGGGTTGTGGGATTACTCGGGGTTCATCCCCCCACTTCTGTGATGCAAGGGCGTCTCTCCTTAACAAAGCGTGGGTTCGTCTTCCACAGCCCTGAGCAAAGAGAACCAATGCTTTCAGCTGCCACGGTAGTGGGTAACCAGGGTAAAATCGATTGATTTGCTGCCCAACATAGGATCAAGAACAAGTCGTGGAGCTTCTCCCAGTGCTTTCAGAAGTTTTGCCGCTAGGTAACCAGGGATAAAACCATGATGTAAAACATAGGATACGGAAGGGTGGTTAGCTAGAGGTAATTTGTAGTACTGGGCCAGGTTGTGCAACTTGAAGCAGACTCTGACTTAATCCTAACCGGGTGTTCAAATCGGAATTGGAGCTGCGCGAAGAATCGCGCGCCCATGGTGGACCTGCAACATGCTCACAGTTTGACGCGCTGAGAACTGAGAACTCACGTCCTTGCGTGTTCCGGGCAGCTTTGCCACGGAGCGCCGCTTTCGGTTTTGATAACATTTTGTCAACAGAAGAGTTTCGCTTTGGCGATTTTCGGTTGGACATAGGGTCGAGCAACCTCATTTTGGGAGTGTTTTTGAAGGTTGGACTCCCCCAAAATGGCGTTAGTTGTCCTTTGTGGTTTCCCTTAACCACAAAAATGGGGGGTGCCCTTCCTGCAGGCGCCTGGAAGCTCATTGTCCTCTAGGAACCCCCTGCCAGGTGCCATGTTACTGGCGGAGAGAGGGTGCCCGTTTTCGGGTTTTGAAGAGAAAGCACTAGGAGAAGCGTTGCGCCAAGGGTCGGATGGCTTTGGTTTCGTTTTGGTTTCCCTTAACAACAAAAACGGGGGGTGGCTCCATTTTTGGAGTTAATGGAAGGGAGGGTCGCCACCCCTCACCCCATCCCCCCCAGTGGATCCCAGTTGCCCCGGCCAACAGACGCACTCAGCTCAGGCGAGGACGCCTCCGGGGCGCGTGTCGTGGCGGCGGAGGTGAGCAGCGGCAAGAGCCGGGTTGAGGTGAGCTTTCTGAGCCCCTGGCCGACTTAGCCCAGACTTAGCGGACCTTTTCTTTATGTTTTGTTTGGTACCTAACTCAGTTGTTCAGCGGCACCCTTTTTCCCCTTTTTTTGGTGGCTGCCCCACTCAAAATGGTCTTCCCCCAAAAGGGTTCCCTTTTTTCCAGTCACTGAACAACTGAGCTAAGGATCGACTATTTTTTGACCCCCAGCGGAGCTTTTCGCCATAAAACAATTATTTGTTACCTCTTCTCGTTGGACTGAACCAATCTTTCTGGCTGAAACAGCTGAACATCTCCATTGGACCCGCAAATGGCGAAAGACTTGGCCGCATTGCCGGACTTAGCCCACCTTTTTGATTCGATCTGATGAGTCAAGCACATGTTGTGCGTGTGTTTCTGTGTCTTCTACAAAAATGGAATCGACAGCAAGTTGTTTTGTTGTTTTTTTGTTTTTGTTTTAAACAATAATTAGAACCAAACACTTACATGTTGTTGTGCTTTTTAACATAGAATAAATCACATGTTGATTTTGCTTGCGAAAGCAAATCCCAGTGCTTCCAGGCGTTTTGCCACTATACTAGGAAACCAGGGGGTTCACCATGATGTATCCACACCGAAGGGTTACCTATTGTAGTAGTACCAGGAAGCACTGGGTATGACTCAACATGCAATAAACAGAACTACATTACATGTTTGTTTACTGTTCAGCTTGTTGACACCTTGCGCTTGCTTGCTTGCTTGCTTGCTTGCTTGCTTGCTTGCTTGCTTGCTTGCTTGCTTGCTTGCTTGCTTGCTTGCTTGCTTGCTTGCTTGCTTGCTTGCTTGCTTGCTTGCTTGCTTGCTTGCTTGCTTTTTTTGCGTGTTGCATTTTTTGGTTTTGCTACTCGTATGTGTTTTAAAAAAAAAAAAACTTTTTGTTGGCATTCCTTCGTTTCTTTTTGGACCAGCCAAGCGAACAAACTTCGATTGTTGGGGTCGGAGTCAGGCCGGTGACCTCAGAGAAGACCATGGATGCCAAAGGCTTGGAGGCGGCCGTGGCGTTCGCGGGGTCGTTGGTTTGTTTGTTGGTTGGTTGGTTTGTTGGTTGGTTGGTTGGTTGTTGATTTTGTTTCTTGTGTTTTGTGTTTTTTGCGGGGAGGGAGGCGGGAAGGGACGCACTCAGTTGTTCAAAGCGAATCGCCCGGATAGGAGCTTTTGGTTTTCAACTTGTTGGCCCACTGAAAAAGAGTGAAGGCCAAAAACAAAGATGAGCCTTTTATCTCTAGGTCCTTTGGGCAAGTGAGCACAGGGTCAGGTAACCTTGAATTGGTGGTTTGGGTTGGTGGTTTGGGGGGTTGAACCCCATTTTCTTTCTCAGCCAAATGGGGAAGGCACCCCCCAAGGTTCAAACCACCAACCCACAAATCCGGAAAAAAGGGTGACAGGTGTGAAACAAAAACCGGCCCCTCCACAAAGAAACAACAACTATTGAGTTTCCTTTTGGTTCCCCTTGTGAGCCAGCCCGTTTTCCGACCCGTTTTTCCCCGTGGTTTGGGTTGGTGGTTTGGTGGTTGCCCCTTGTTCTGGGCAAAAGGGAAACGTCGTAGCCTCCTAACCACTCCAAGCTGTATGTTTGTTGAGGGTACCTTGGTTTTTAAAGGCAACCGCCAGTTTCTTTAGGGCTCCCCTATATTGAGACATGTTTGTGTGTTCAGCCAGGGGCTGCACCACGTGTGTTGCGGAGGTAGGCGTAGTATTACGAATGAATGAATCAAGACATATATTTATACATATATAGGCATGTATACAGAGTCACGAGTGGTCAGGAGCAAGGGCCTTTTCACACTATGATTCATGGCAGGCGCTTTTTGTGCTGGAGTCAAGTTCCTGCTGTTTTTTGCTGAGCAACCCATTGTTTGCCAGCTTTCAGCCTGTGTGGAACACCTGGCTCACTTGCCAAGCCAACTGGTGGGTTTCCGTGGTGTTTTCCTTTGGAGCTGGGTGTTACGTCCATTGCCGCCATGCCGCCGCCCAGGTGCGAAGCAAAGGAGCCAGCGCCTTCCTGCAAGTAATTCAGGGAAGCGATCTCTCCACAGATCACTTGCTGGAGGAGGTGCTTAGCAGTGACTTGACATCAAGATAGTGGAGGAGTATTTTCGTGTACTTTCATGGGTTTGTGAAAGGTGAGATCATTCTCTGTGCGTGTGTGCTGGCGTGTTTGTTTGTCTCGCTTCCTGAGTTCCTGGACTTTCAACTTTATTTGGAGACCATTTTTGTGGCAACCAAAAAGTTTCGACGTTTTTTGGACCATCAACTCAGGCAGTGAATCGGAGTGAGTTGTTTGTTCGTTTGTGTTTGTTTGTTTTCTTGCTTGCTTGCTTGCTTGCTTGCTCGCTTGCTTGCTTGCTTGCTTGCTCGCTTGCTTGCTTGCTCGCTCGCTTGCTTGCTTGCTCGCTTGCTTGCTTGCTTGCTTGCTTGCTTGCTTGCTCGCTCGCTCGCTCGCTCGCTCGCTCGCTTGCTTGCTTGCTTGCTCGCTTGCTTGTGTGCTTGCTTGATCGTGTGTTTGCTTGCTTGTTTGTTTGTTTGTTTGTGTTTATGTGTTGTTAGTTATTCAGATTGTTGGTTTGTTGGTTATTTGTTTGGTTTGTTGTCGGTTTGGCTGGGCTTGGTTTGCCTGGGCTTGGCTTGGCTTGAGTCTGTTGTTTGCTTGCTTGTGCGTTTGTATGGTGTGGTCCGTGTGCATGTGTTGTGCACGTTTGTGTGTGTGTGTGTGTGAATACGATTTTAATAAGGAACCATATCAAGCAGTCTTTGGTGTACATAACTCCCCGCCTAGATGATGTCCATAAGCGGTCCTCACTTTAGAACTCACACCCATGTGTCTAGGGGTTGATTCCCCATTCTTTTCAACCATCGTTCTTTTCAAAACCCAGTTTTTTCTCTGGGTTTCCGGAGGTTTTCTAGCAAGATTCGGATCCCTGGGTTCAGAATGGAAATGGAAGGTACTAGAGCCATACCCCTAGAGCCATAGTCTTCCCAACCCACCGTGTCGATTTTTTGGTACCCCTAGAATGTGGCTTGACTCTGCCGCTTGCCCCGGAAAGACATGAGGCAAGGGCAAGTTCGGCGCGTACGGCTTGCCGGAGGCCATCCAGGTCTTGAGCGATGAGTCGGATGATACGGGCCGGCGGGTGCAGGTGCGCTTCACCGCGTACTCGCCCAAGCAGCTCGCTGAGTTTTAGTGGCTTTGTTGGAGCCCCCCAAGCCCTAAGCTCAAAAACCCTAAACCCTAGAACTCCAAAAGCTCCCAAACCCTAAGCCCTAAAACCCCCAAACCCTAAACCCTAGAACTCCCAAACCCTAAACCCCCAAACCCTAAAACTCCCACTCCCTTTGCCAGGTGGCTTTCTGGTGTCCGAAACATATTTGCTGTTCCTTACGGGCACTGGCTGTCCGAAAGTGGTCTGCCCCCAGAGGTTCAATGGGCGCCGGGTTGTAAACTTTGAAGGTGGTGCAGTCACGCTACAACCATGCGGGTTTGTAGGTGCTCGATGCTTCATCGTGATGGTTTGTCAACTCTACACCCTGCGCTCGAGTTCAGGCAATCGCAGCATTCCAAAGATGTTTGTTGGTACTGAACTTTGCAGTGCAGTACCAGCCATGATCCCGTGATGCCGGCTTTATCCTTTTCGTAGATCCATCAAGAATCCACCTTTTTCCCCAGCGCTGGAGGTCTGGGGCATGGGCATGCCCGGCTCGCCATGTTTGTTTTGTTTGTTCTGGAAGCGGGGTGCTTCGCTTCCGGTTTTTTTCTTGACCGGGCTCGAGTTGCCCAGTTTTCGATCATGCGGAACCCATGTCTCATGTTGGCACCAAAAAGGCTCCTGCCTTTTGGCATGGAAGAAACCCGCTGTGGTTTTCCAAGCTTGGGGCCCCGCTTTTACACTACCGACAACCAAAGTCGGGCGAAGCAGCCTGCCTCCTCACGTAAACCACAGTTTTTTGAGCCTGGTTTTAGGCGCGGAAAAAAAAAAAGGTCCTCTTGTCCGGACCGTTTCCACGACGTATGCCATGATGGGGTTGCTGCAGGCCGGTAGCCCAGCTTCCGAGCAGCGGAGCTCAGGTCGGTGGAGTTTGAGACCCGAGCGCTTCTGCGGGCAAAGGTCCTGGAGGAGCCGTCGCCCGAGAAAGGGAGGAGTCGTGTCTTTTTTTTCTTTTTTTTGGCGTGACAGAAAGTCGAAAGTCGCGAACGCGTTGTACAGCCCCAAGCGGGTATTGGGAGCCATGTGCCGAAAGGACTCAAAAGGCAAAAGGCTAACAGGGGGATGTAAGAAACCGGTTGGGAAAAATTCCCGGAGTGGTTGCACTCCCTAAACCCTCATATGAAGCAAAGGACTTGGACTGCTAGTGCCAAAAGCGCCTACCACCAGCCTGGTCTGTGCCTGCACCCTGGAAAGTGCTGTCCCCCAGAAGTAGTGACCCACCTCACCAAGCTCGAACGGTATGACCCATGTGAATGATGATGGAGCTCCTTTGTTGTACATACATTGTTACATTTACACATGTTCCTTAGACGGCATAGGTCCATGAACGTATGTGTATACACAAACCCTCAGATTCCAAAGGCCTTGCGAAGATAGGCCTCTGACAAGAGGCCTTAAAACATTGAGTATCATGACCGCTCTGTTTAGCAACACCTGCAGAAATGAGCATGATGCTATATGCAACCTTGCCAAAAAGTGGTTTCGGTTGATAAGGCATCGTCGGCATCATGTTTTGCTGTTCTCTCAGTACCTCTGCATCTTCAGGACGAGTCGCTTTGCTCCAAGGTGGTTCTACCGAACCTGCACCTCTTTTAGTGAACCTAATGCTGTACGCTTTCCGAAAGCTGCGCCCAAGCCAGAGTTTGTCGTGTGGTTCTTTGTGGCTTTTCAGTGCTATCCTCGCTTTTTAGCCGCGCTGTCTCCATGCGTGGTCCAGCTGGTGTCCTTCCTTCGTCACAGTTTGTTTTGCGCAATGAAGTAATTGTCGCTAAGTTGGCTCTAGTTCTTGCCCACCATCGAGCAGAGTTCTACAAAGGCAAGCTCGAAGGTGAAGAGCATCCCCAGAACTCGATGGCATGAAGGTTGCAGCCATGCTTGTTCTGAGGAGCTTTTTCGGTTTTTAGGGGCAGCATGCACGTATATTGTTGTTTCATGTGCATACGTATTCTGCCTTTACAACTTCTCATCAACGCGGCAATTGAGTCCCAGCATGTCTGGCTATAGCCCCACTAGCAACACACTGACACGCTTCAAGCACAATTCAGGGCAAATAGAGATATGTGTATGGACGCATACGCTGATCGTCTCAACTGAACATCGCCTTTTGGGAGCCGCGACCTTTCGACTGCCGTGGCGATTGGATTTGTTGGGCCGAGTGAAGTGGTCAACCCCGGCTGCAAGAGCCAGTTCCCACGTGGCCATTTGGGAAAGATCCCAGCTGAGGCTTGACTCCAACGCTGCTCTCCCTTTCCCTCCTTGTTGCCTGCTGCTTGTTCTCAAGTTTCCCCCCCCCCTGTTCTCCCCTTGGTCTTCTCTTCCCCTCCCAAAGCCATTCGGCACAGTGGCGGGTTTTCCGGGCATGAAAGTTTAAAGGCGTTGCCCACAATCTGCTTTGCCTTGGGTCGATCTTTGGTTTGATCAGCATTCACCTTGAAGGATTGCGATGTCCCAATGGCAAAACGCGGCCACTTTGTCCCTGGGACACTCCCAGCTTCTTTATTGACTGCTATTGGGTTGGATCTTTAGACTTTAACTTATTGGGAAATGAAGGTGTTTTCCACTAAACCCAAAAAATGACAAACTTTTTGCAGGGGGGTTAACAGCAACCAAGCTTTGACATGCCGGGTTGCCCGGTTGCCCGACAGGACACCACATACGTCTTGGTGGCGACGGCGCTGGAGGACAAGTGGGCGCAAGCAGAGGCTCAGCTGGTGCGGACCGTCGACTCCTTCCAGGTGGCTGCGGCGTGAAGCAACGGCGGAAGTCCCAAGTAGGGAACAGGGGAAGCCCCAAAATTGCATGGATCTAGGATCTTCGCAAACAACATGGGGGCAATGAACAGCGACAATGTTGAATTCCCTTCAGCGGAATCAACAGCTTGAGTCTACGGCGCGAGGCGTGCTTACTGCAATCATATATAATCATATGACATGTAGGGTCAGCTTCTGCGGCAGGAAGGAGCTGAGGGCTCACCCAAGCGCGGCCAGGTTTCAGGTGTCGGTGCGGGGGGTGCATTTGAACCTTGCCCCTCCGGCGACTCAGTCAGCCGAAAACGGCGGCTTGGACCGTGCATGTCATGCGGCATTGCCGCAAGAGCGATGCAACGTGGTGTATCTCAGAATGGGGGATCTTCCCCTGAATGGTTTCCCTGTAGATTTCGAGAAAGGGTGCCGTCAAAAAGCGACACACCCACGAACCAGACAGCTGGGAGCTTTGGATTTTTAAGGTGTCGGTGCAAGCGATTGGGCAAAAGCAATGGGTTTCGCGCTGACGACACGCAGGTGAAGCTTACGTGAGAGGTGCCGTTTCTTTTTTTGCCGTTCTTCTGATCTGCCGGAAATCCAAATTTGCTGCCTGCATGGCCCAAAATTCGACATTTCCCTTCACTTTGTGGCCCCCAGCCATCCCCGATTTGTTTTCAGCTTTTTAGCTGGTGTAGCGGTTGGCTTTCCGTTTCGCCCACTGAAAGTTTGAAGCACTTTTTGCGGGGGATCTGAAAAAAAGAGACCGTTCAGTCAAGGGAAGGAATGGCATGGATCACCGAAGCCCCCCTTGGCCCAAAAGCTTCGGCCCAACTTCTGCCAGGGCAGCGGCCGCTTCAAGAAGAAGTCTCCGTCTCCGAAGGCCGAGAAGCCGAGAAACCCACCAGCTTGGACTGGCCTGGAAAATTTTGGAAACGGCGTGGCTCAAAATTAAAGGGCTAGGGTTTTGCAGGTTTTAGTCAATTTGTTTCCGTTTACCAAGGTGCCATGTGGTGACATCTGTTTGAGCCGCAGCCATTTTGCAAATAGCGCAAATTGTGGCTTCCCAAAACCATTTACCATGAGTAGATCTTGCTGGGCGATGCTTTTGAAAAGCCACCATTGGTAATTGGTACCGTGTCTGGTTGCGGGGGTTTACATGGGGTAGCTTGGGTTACTTCCCTTCAGTTGGCTGAAGATCTGACTGAAGATAGTTGTGCAAGCGGGTCTGAGGTTCTGAGGTTGCGGCTCCAAGGCCAGAGTTTTGCTTTGCCCTTTCCTGAAAATGAAGAGGCGACCTCCAAATTTGCTGCCCAGGAAACGTGGATGAAAGTTTTTGTTTGGCTCCTGAAATTTTGAGAGGGGGTTAGATGGTGCTCATGGGCTTTGCCTGCGGCTTTTGTCGCCCAAGATGCTGGAGCGGGGGGGCGGGTCCGCAACAAGCCGTTTCGGAATCCCTGACGGCTCAAAAGGCCGCAATCCACATGTCATGTGGAACCTGTCACCAGGCGAGGCTTGTGGAAGAATGTTGCAGCTTTTCGCCACGGCCATTTACAACTGACTGTGTGAGGAATCTTGCTGTTTCCTAGCCGGCCCGTTAGACTGTTACGTTTTTTCGGCTTTTGTGGGGCTTTCCATTTCACCCACGAAAAGGTAAGCTGTTAGATCTTTTAGCAGATCTCGACAGCTCGGGAATGACAGGGTTGATTTGGTAGATCGGAGGCTATGGGTGTGGCTCAAAATTAAATAGGAGGGGGTACGCAGGTTTTGGTCCATGTTTCCACTTACCAGGGTTCCATTGTGGTACCGGTGTTTTGAGCCACAGCGATATGCTTAACGCCCTGTCATAATGTTGGTTTGCAGTGGTCCTATGCACGTAGGGGAAGCTGGAGTCGCTGGGGCTGTCAAGCATGGATAAGCTGGGCATGCCGCCGCCAAATTTTAGCTGCTCAAGGTGGAGCGTAGTGCAACAGCCAGCCGCATGCCACTGGCAACACTGCCAGTGTATGGCAAGCCTGTGACTCTCAAGCAAAACATGGCCATTGGAAGTGGAGATACCCCATTTTGACTTTGAGCCCCTGTGACATTGGTGGTGTTGATGTTTTTCGTTGACAAGTGGCCTACTGAACAGCCATTCGACTGTGACTGAAGGGGCCAGCTGTTCTGCTTGAAGCCCCACTTGCTTTATTTTGAGAAACAAATGAGTGCAGAAGCCATAGCCCTACACAAAGGAAGGTGGGGGAGCGCCGTTCCAGATTTCTCACAACATACACCCGAAGCTTGGGACACAAGGCAGGTACATGTGGCCCGTCAAATCAGCAACGCGCCAATCATGTGTGGCCCAAGGAAATACAAAAAACGGACCTCGCTGATCCCCCCCAAAGACAAGGGGAAACAACAGTGCCATCTACTTCTCCCAAGACACACCTTGCAGTTTGTTGTCTTTTTGTGTTTAATGTTTCGTGCCTTTTTGTTTGGAAGGTTGGCCCTCCCCCCCCGAAGACCAGGGCTAGCCACTTGTGCCAAACAAAGGACAACCTTGCAGTTTGTTTTATGTTTCGTGCCTTTTTGTTTGGAAGGTTTGCTCCCCCCCCAAAGACCAGGGCTATCAACCTTGCAGTTTTCATGTTTCAGAGTGCCTTTGGAAGCTTCGCCCGTTTTGCGCCCGGGGAAAAAAACAACAGACGCCCAATTCACTTCGAGGGGGCAGTCCGATGGCCCGTGGGGTCGCCCGGGGCGATGCTCTGCAACTGCTGGGGCTGTCGCGTGGCGCCTCGGAGCGAGAGGTGCGTGCGCCCGCCACGCCTTGGGGCGGGGGGGTTGGGGGTGCTTCAAGGGGCATTCTACTTAGCAAGTGGGTTGTAGCCATGCTTAGAACCACTTAGGAGACTTACAACCACGGTAAGCGGGTTGTAACCATGGCTATTACCCACTTTCTATCTACAATGCCCCAAGTGGGGGGAGGGGGGAAGGGGAGAGGGGGGGGGTTTGGGTTCCTTTGGCTTCCCTAGTGGCAGTACCAAAGGGCTTTCCAGCCGTGGTCACTCGATTTTTTTCTGAACGTTTCAGAGCCATTTCGCTTTTGGGGCTACCTCCGTTTCGTGGCGATCGTTTGAAAGGAAACCGGTAAGTTGATCAACCTTTGAAGGGGAAAAGTGACCCCTGTTTGGGCCCTTCTGGTTCAGTACCACGGCTCGTGGACAAATTGCGGCCATTAAAAGGTTGAGAGTTGACATATACAAGTGCAGGCAGGCGCGCACGCACGCAGGGATGCGAGCAAGGCACCCTCGAGGATGGCCACGCACATTTGCGCAGGCACGCGCGTGCCCATGCACGCACCCACGCACGTGCTTGTGCAAACACGCTCACGCGCAACCTGCTCATGCACATATGCGCTTTATTTGTACCCCTGCACACCCACGCGCACACACACACACACACAGACGCACAGACACACAGTTGCACACACCACACAAACACCAATGCAAACACAAACAAAAACAATCCGACGCAAAGCCAATGACAGATGCAGGCCTGGTAAGTGTATACACCCTGTGGAAATTTAGGATGTGAGTGCGTGTGCGGAGTCGCTTGCCTATGCACGGAAGAGTTTCAGAGCAAGCCGACTCGGGTTGCCAGGCAGCGCATTTTTGCGACTCGCCAGAGTCTGGCACCCTGACAAGCAGCGGGACCCTGCCACCTGTCTGCATTCAGGATGACTCGTCTTTGGGCTATTTTTAATTGAGTTGTATGGCTGGGGATGCAAGTTTGCCGTGTAACCAAGTGCTTCCGGTTACCACTGTAGTAGGCAACCGGGGAAAGGATGCTTTAAAACTTAGAGATAGCAATGCCTGGCTTCCTGCTAGAGAACTGGAAGCACTGGGTTTGGGCAAATGTTGTCACGGCCGAAAATGGCACAGGACCCCCAAAAAAAACGTTGTGGATGGGATGATGCGTAAGTTCACTGCAAGTAAAGGTAGAAGGGGCCGCCCACGCCAGGGAAGTTGTGGCACACTGCTTCCAGTTGCGTTCTAAGCGCAACTCCCAGCCTTATGCGAGCTGCACGAATCATCTGGACCGTTATCAGGGGCCTTTGAGAGAAGTTACTCATTGCTATTTCATTTGCAGGGCTTGTTAATCCGAATCAGCCAGGAATAGTAAGGTTGATGTCTAGCTTGTGGTCTTAGGCTTCTTGTGGTCCACACACTGTGAGTTTGTAAGCTAGCAGTTTGAGTGCTGACGACGGGAAACCATATTCTATGAACCCACTGGCGCATTCGGGCAGGCGAAGGAAGCAGAGAGCACTCAGCGATTTCAACAGCTTCAGGCGTGCGCGGAGTCGAGTCGCTTTGAGCCCTTTGGATTTCATCCCGCTGCGAAACGCGGACCCCGTGTGAAGGGTCGGTTTCATACCAGTTTTCCGCTTGACTTTGGCAGAGCAGCACCCATCATGATGTAGGAGAGGACCCCCATGCCCTTTTTTGCACTCGAAGCGGCAGGCTGCCTATGACTTGCTTACGGGCAAGGTCGATGACTTACAGCATGGTGCCTCGGCTAGTTGGCAGGGGTCGCATGAGAACCTTATCCCACTGGGAATTCTCGGTTGTCCCAGCGGGCGTTGCTTTGAAAGGTTCTTCTGCACTCGTGGCTCAAGGGATGTCAGGATGGCCTGATTTGGAAATAATTTATATATCTATCTATATATATATATATCGAGATATCAGAATTCAGATATACCGTGTGATTCGGTTCTGAGCATGGCTACAACTTGACTTTTGCTCCCCTTTCAACATCCCAACCGTTGCCCAGGCGCAAGCTATGCTCCCACCTCTTGGGCGTCTCGCGCGCCACGGACTGCGAAGTGCCCGCGGGCCATCAGCATCGCCAAATGCGCGAACCCGGGGGTCTTCGAGGAGCTGGGTCGGAGGATGTCGGATTATGTCTGAAACCCTCGGTGGCACCTGCCTTTTGCATCCGAGTCACAAGTCATTGAGCGGAATACTCAATTTCACGAAACTTGACATAAATTGACAACTAAACTAAATATGTTGATATATATATATATAGTAAATGTGTACATACCAAAAACAAGCAAAGGGAAAGAGAGAGAGAGAGAGACCGAGTTGTGAATATTTTCGTAGAATGGGTGTTTGAGATTCAACTTCTTTCAAGGGAGGGTACCTACCTAGAATCAATGAATATGCAAAGATTGGTACCGGCGTTGCATGCACCTGATTGCAAGAAAGTCTTGCCTGGCATTGTCAGAATGTCTTTGGATAGTGCAACAACTGGGGATTATAGGAGTGTGATGCACCTCACTAAACCACTGGTTTTTTGCAGCTTGGGCAGCAAGGAACCCAACGCAAAGAGAGCCACGCTGGACGCCTTGGCCTGTTACAAGAAAGACTGAGAAGGGATAAGTAATGCCCAGCTGGTTGCGTAAGTTGCAAGGCGGGCCATTGACAGGGACATGAGACGACACAGCTCACAGACTCTCGATAAGCCATGGGGAGATAGAGGGAGGGATGCACCATGGAAAGACTGAGCACGGGTTCACAGGCATGGTTGTCACCGAAGTTTGCCACGTCTCGGTTTTCTGCTTGCCGCCATCTCCAGTGCGGGGAGGTTTTCCGACCACCTCAGGAGTCCTTCTTTCCTTTAGGCATGGAGACTTCTTGACTTGACTTAGAAGCCTGGCAGGAGCTTTCCACCACAGAGCTGCAGAACTTGCTTCTGGAGCAAGACATCTTTGTGTTGACCGGGACGAAGCTGGATCTTTGCTGCTCGGCATTTGTCAGGGCTGTTGCATGCGTAAGGCGCGCGATGGACCCCAAACGAGAGATTCCTTGCGTCGGTCATTTCATTCCACATGTTTCCTCCAGGTCGTTGGTTGCTTTCCTTTTGGTTTCCCTTCAACACCTCCCTGAGCTTTTGTTGCCTACGTGCAACGTGAAACGGAGTAGGCTTACCGAGTCACAGTGGAAACCAGTGACTGCGCTCGAAATGGGCCTGGGTTTTCAGATGGTCCCTTCTTGCAACAATGCAGGCAACAATGTGTGTTTGCCACAACCCTCAATGAAGAGCCCAGGGAGTTGTTGACATCGTTGTCCTGGGCGACCTTGCCCTCTTAGCAGCGCTGGGCCAGTTTGTCCACGCATCGTTCATTCAAACACTATCACCGAGGCCTCCAAGAACCTAACCTGGACTATTGCTGGATGAAAGGGGTAAAATCATGTTCACTCGGCAAAATCACGGTACTTAGGCCTTTTGCAGGGTGTGCCCAACCATCAACTGAGCTTTGACAAGAAGTGCAGTTGTCCCCACCCAGACCCTTCGCCCCATCTCCGCTTTATTGTTTTTTTTGTTTAGGCCGGCTATCCTCTGGCTAAGCCAACCTTTTCCATTCGGACAAACCCAACAAACACGGAGCAGCCGAAACCAAAAAAGAAGAACCAAAAAACGGGGCTGTGCTTTCGTGGCCCACTCAGGCCTGGCTTTGCTGCAGCTCTTTACGCTCCGCGAGCTACGGAGGCTTCAGCAGGCTGGGCCAGGGGTAGAGGCTCCTGGTTCCTTTTGATCCTAAATGGTGGTCCCTTTGGCTTTCCTTGGCGATCTCCTTTGACACTTCTTTGAAGAAGGTTCAAGGTTCATTGAGCTAGAGTCACACAGTAGTTTGGAGTTCGGCACGAGCTGCGGCAAAGGGAGCTCTTAAGACAGACACGGCCTTCGTTCGAGCAGCAGCAAAACAAAGTCACTTTATGACTCAGTAGGGTCGGTCTCTGATGCATGGCCGTGTCTGTTGATGACTTTATCACTTCTGCCACTCGGCAGCAATGCCAGTTTGATCTCACTTGTTGTAAGACATCATTTTGTTTAAATCTTTTTGGACGGGCCTTGCATCTACGTATAAGTCACACATCTCCCCCCCCTCCCAGTGTTCCCGCCCTTCCCAGCAAACCGCGGGCCCAGCACCCCAGCCCCACAACATCCCCGTGTCTCATGATTCCATTTGCGTAAGATGCTCCATTCTTATGCCCCCTTGTCACAAAGGGAATCTATCACTATACCGGGAAATATACGTTTTGGACATATTTTATGGCACAAAGGGAATCTATCACTACACTGGGAAACATATGTTTTGAACATATTTTATGGCACAAAGGGAATCTATCACTATACTGGGAAATATGTGTTTTGGACATATTTTATGTCATGAAGGGAATCTATCACCATACCGGGAAATATATGTGTTGGACACATTTTATGTCACAATGGGAATCTATCACTACACTGGGAAACATATGTTTTGAACATATTTTCTGGCACAAAGGGAATCTATCACGTTTGAACATATTTTATCATGTGTTTCCCAGCAAACGAAAAAAATGAGTCTCATGTCTTCTATGCCAGGCACCGCGCTCCAAATCGCGAGACGACCTGCTGCGGCAAGCGGAGCAGCAGCTCAGGCAGCAGGAGCAGAATCGCTTGGTTCTGCGAATCCCCAATTGCAACCAGTGGGTTGCTCCCTTTTCCTTGTTTTTTGTGGGGGTGGTTCCCCTTTTAAAGTCAACCAACCAAAAAAACGGATGCCGATTCTTTTTAGTGGTTCGCTTCCTTTTTTCCTTTTTTTGGGGGGGTGGTTCCCCTTTGAACGGGGCGGCCTGATTTTTGGCTTCGGCAGGGATGTGGGCTCCACTCACTCCAATTGGAGGGGGTGGGGTCTTGAGCAATGTGGCGGAACCAACCGAAAAAGGATGCCCTTTTTTCCCATGGCCACTGGGCATCTGAGAGACCAAAATGATGTCTCGCTTTCGGCATCCATTCCTAGCTGGCTTAGGGTGGTTTAATTGTCTCCCTTTTTTCTAGGGGATACCTTTTCCAGTCTTTTCACCCATTGTTCTTTTCAACAGCTGGATCTGTTTTTTTGGGGTTTCCGCAGGTTTTCTAGAAAGATCGGATCCCTGGAAATGAGGAAGGTACCTATAGTCTGTTGGTTTCTGGATCGAAACGGGGCAAGTGCAAAAAACTGCGGCAAATGCCATGGAACTCTGCCAAATGGATGGCGCTCTTCTGAATTCCCGAAAAACACCTCCGAGGGTTTGGAGTATTGCCGGAAGTATCGCGAAGGACAAACTTGCACAGCGTTGGAGGTGTTCTTTGTACTTTGCACTGGTGCGCCGCGCTGGGTTGATTCTTGCGCTGGCTTTTGGGGTCCTCACCCCCCAAGCCCTGAAGCTTTGAAACTCCCAAAGCCTCAAGCCCTAATCTAGCACAGGACACATTGAAGTGCAGCCTGTAAGATCCAGCTCTTTGCTTTCCGGCCAGGACCTTCAGGATGGCTTTGTCGGTGGCCTGGCGAGCATGGCGAATCGAAAGCCGAAGCTTCGTCCATGGGGTCTGCTCCATCTTTTGGACATGGGTGGCTCGTTTGTTTGAAAGCTAGACCCCTCCAAAAATGGCATGTGTTTTTCTTTTGGTTTCCCTTTAAACCCTCAAAAGCGGGGATACCCTCAACATAAGACAGACATTTTGGGGAGTAGTTCTGAAGCAGAAACAAAGCGAAACTTGTTCTTGGCGCACCCCGGGGTTGGGGCAGAGTCGTGACGGATGCTTTCTCGACCGTCTCTTTGCCCAACGGCTTTTCCACGAAGTGCCCCAGTAGTGCCCTCTTGCCCCTTGTTCGGGGGAGGGTTCCCCGACTAAAGCAGACGGAAAAGAAAAACGTTGGCGCCCTTGTTCTAACCTCTCTACTGGAGGACCCAGCCAATTTCTTCCGGGTTTCATGTGGCTCTGGTGCGGCTTAGGCACCGCGCCGGGCTGCCTGAACACCTGTGGCTGCAGGCCCGGGCTCGGACAGCGTGTGGGCGCAAACGAAAAACGGCCCAAGTTGAAGTACAGCCCAAAGAGGATGGTATATTATATAGGTATATACCTAGAAAGCCAAGTTGCATTGAAAAACAAGCAACTGGAAATAGTGTCCCGTTTTTTGCAATTCTATAAGCATTATTCTGTCTCAACAACTTAAGGCTTGCCAGTTCGTTCTGCAAAAGTGACCGCCCCCGCTAGCCTATGAGATGCCTCAAGACAAGCTGCTCTTCGTGGACATCCAGCCTGCCTGACTCCGAGCCTTTTCATGCGCACAGCAATGCATCCATGCATCATGCTTTGCCATTCGGCACGCAAGAGGGCTCAGCCGATTTCCTAGGCTGAGCCATGCAGGGCTTCACCTTTGATCGGGAGGCTCGCAGCAAGGGGCACGGAAGTGATGTTTGTTTTCTGCAAAAAAAACATGCTACCACCTAGCTGCTAGCCCCAGCCGATATCTTTCTAAGGTCTTAAAGTGTTGAGTCCTAATGCTCACAGCCCTCGACATGGTTGACACACGTCCCACGAAGTCTTCGTCAACTTGTGTGGCTTCGCAGACTGGGTTCAAACTGTAAAGGCTGGATGATTGATCCTTGCGAAGACGCCAAGCAATCTCTGCAAACATGTGAAACTTAGGAATGTATTTCCATCTCGCTTTGCCAATGGAGTACGCGTAGTTGGCACAGGCAGCAAAAGCTTGGAAGAACCTGTCAGAAGACGTCAAAGCCAGGGACCGTTCTTGGGAAGTAAGCCACACGGAGGCATGGTAAAGCGTTTTCAGAAACACGTTGGCAGCTTTCAAGGTCTCCAAAATGTTGCAGAAATATCCTTTGTGCTCATGTTCAGGGTTGTCTGCGATCAGGGTCAAGTACTTGCTCTCCAAGTAGAGGCACAAGCTAGTTGTGTCAGCGCCTTTGAACCATGACCTCAGAAACATGTTCAACATGCCCAAGGGCCAGAAGGACATCACACAAAAACTGGAATCTGTAGGCTGACCTGCTTGAAATTGTGCTAATTTGCAGCCCTAGGGCCCAGCAGGGTAAGATTGATCACGATCAAAGCTCAGCAAAGTTCGCGTCAAGCCACTCATGTGCAATTGCAAGCTTTGGTCGTAGCAATACTTCTGAAGATCCTCAAAGATCACCCCCAGCTTTACTGGGACAGAACCTTCACCCATGAGATCAAAGTCCATCACATTTACCTGGGCTGCGCTGTCCCCACTGCCAATGTGAGAATGTGTGCACACCTTTTCAGTTTCACTAGAACTCAAATTGCAAAACAACTATATTGGTGATTGTGATGATGAGGGTCCACAGCATTGGCCGCAACATCTCCGAAGACCCCTTTGTGCAGGGTATGGAAAAGGTCCACTCGATAAAACTCAGGCTTTTTGTCTGGATCCTGGGGGATGATGCGGGTGAAGGGGGATGGTGTTGTCCAGGGAACACCTGCGTCTTGGTGAAGCGTATCCATATGTTGCTCGTCCGTGATGTGCCAAGCTTGGTCACGTTGACCTGCCTTGCACATGTGGCAAATTCCGACCATCTTTCCCTCACCAGATTTGTTTCTCAAGAAATGTCGTGTCAACTGACCCAGCTTGCAAAGCGCCGGCCAATCTCCTTTCATTCCTATCGGGATAAGCCAGGAGCAACGACCACCAAGAACGATTCCATCAGCACAAAGGGATGCAAGCTCATTGGCAAAGTGCTCCGTCAAGTTCAGGAGTGTTTCTGACTTACTTTTGCTGTAGACACGAGGTGTTATCACACTGTACAGAAACCGGCTTGTCAAAGAGGACCCAGTGTAATTCAGGCCAGCAGCTCTGGAAGAACCGGCTCCAAACAAGGGCTGGAACTGCAGGATCATTAACTGTTTCTTTTTCAAGGTTTGCCCCTCATCAGCATGAAGTAGAATGGGCACACACGCAGCTAGTTCCTGATCTGTGCGGAGGGTAAAGCATGGATGTTTTGGTCGGTGGGGGCGGTACTTGTCCCAAAATTCTGTTCTGCATAGGTTGCAGGTGAGGCAGTCAGGACCAAGTTCAATTTGTTGCTCGCTTCAAGGCATTTCAAAAAGCCCCTCAAAGGAAGGACAGGGTGAGCATTTGCATCAGGCCCACAATCCACAAATACAGTGGGCACCTGCGCCACCAACCCTGCGTTGTCAAATGCCGAGAATAGTCTTGCTTCATGGCCAGTGCGGTGCAAACGACTCATGTCCTGCAAGAGCTGCTCGGACTCCAAAGCCCCCCCCAATGTCACCTTTGAGGCTTCTTGCACAATAGCGGCAGCAATCTCACAGGCCTCCTTCTCAGATACCTTGTTCCCCAAACCCAACATTGTAAATGTTAAAACAAATCAAGATATACATCATTCAGTGTGTTTCAGCTGAATGCAACAAATCCAGACAGGGTATGCCAAAAAAAGACTCCAAGACACCCCATTCGCCACCGCCTTTGCGAGCGCCTTGCCAGCAGGCCCCACGCAGAGCTTGACCGTCCGGGGGCCTGACGCAGGGGAAGGGCCATTGAGAGTCCATGGAAGCAATCCAGATTGGCAAATGCAAGAAACCCTTTCTGCAAATCACATGTTATGCAAAGGCAAGCATAGACTTTGATCATCGCTGATGAACCCCTGTTGCTGCATTGCAGCGCTGAATCCCATGAAGTCTGTGGCAGGCTGTGATTGCACTGCCAGCAAAAAGCCGATTTCATGCCTTTTGCAAAGAACCCAAAACACACGTCAAGCTGCATGCCATCCATCCATGCTGAAACTACAACACATGCACGCATATATGTTTGGGCTACCATTGCTTTTGAATTTGGCGATTCAATTACTTAGCCTTTGGGGCAGCAGCTTTGACGCTCTTGAAATCTACGCACTCTTCTTGGAGGCCCTCTTGGCCCTTTTCACAGGTGGCTGGCTTCCCTCCGACTTCGATCTAGGTTTCGAAGTCGCAGGCTCACTTGGTGCAGGTGTGCCCTTGTCAGGCTTGTCGATCTTTGGCTTGGGAGAGGTCTTGAGCTTCGGCTTCAGGATCGTCCTAGGGCGCAAACAGAGTTGGGTTGTTGCAACAACAAGCAGGCAAGGGTGTTGTAAAGCTTCATTCATACAGGTCTAGGGCCCTAGCTTCTTGAGTTTCATCTCCTCACTCATCGCCCGAGAGCACCTTGAAGTTTTGAACGCAGGAAATGTTGCATGCGATGCTAGGGTACAAGAGTCCATGATAGAGAATCAGTTGAGGCACACTGAGTCCACCTTCTTGACAACATCCTTCAGCTGGTCTAGGCACTTCCTTGGCTTTGAACACTAGATAACATGGAAGACATGTAAGTCAAGATGGGACATGGGTGCAGTTACATATATGCAAGCTTGCGTCGGTGAAGCCTCTCCCGCAGAAGCATCCAGTTCTGACTTAATGTTAGCCAGTTCATCGTGCAATCCGATGATCTTGTTGATCAATGCCCCCACATTCTTGGAAGCCCTTAGGGACATGTTGGAGCAAGCGCATGTAGCACGGTGCCACACCTAGTTTCGAAACATGACTACATGCAGTTTGAAGGCTGTTGCGAATCAGTGGTCTTCATGGGCTCCAGTTTGTCCTGCACTTCCTGCATTCTGCCCTGCACCTTGAGGAGTTTCCCCATGACGTCCAGTGCGTTCTCCGCCGCCTGCATGGATGGAGGCCGGCCAAGAAGGAACCACATGAGAATCTAATATTGAATTCATGCTTTGGCTGATGCACTTGAAAAGAAACTCATGCCTCAAGAACAATCTCTTGGCGCATTTCATCTTGTCGGGAAACACGGGCAGGGGCCACGCTTGACTCCTCAACATCCTCCTCATCGGTCTGAACCGGCGAATCCACAGCCATGCTGGCACCTGGCAGCCCAAGCGGGTCAGTGCTGGTGGCTGGCCCTCCAAAGGTCAGGGTGCTGTCGCCAACACCCTCTGCAAAAGAGGTCTCGTTGAAGGCCTCGCTCTCCTCCATCTCGTAAGTGCCTGACACCTGCTCCTCCACCCAGTAGTATTTCAAAGAGCTCTGGTAGATGTCCCTCCTGCAAAGGGGCTCGCATGGAAACATTCGCAATGAATTGATAGGGAGGCCCACCTGATGAACTTACCCCGGCGACGAGGATCGCTGCAATACTTCACAACAGCTTTCACTCGATCCCTCGGCAGCACAAAAAGCAAATCACAAATCTGTTTGTCACACTTGTGCATGCTCATTCGTAAGGCGCCAATTGTGAACTTAGCTTCAGGCGCTGAGAAGCCTAGCGATGCCTTCATTTTCTCTTTTGAGTAGAAGCCGGCTTGGATGGTAGTTTTGCTTCTCCGGGATTTGGAGAGCTGGTGCTCCACCCGCTTCTTGAACGCATCCTCTCCCAATTGAGATGAAACATGAAACGACGTTCCACAGTGAGACACTTGTGCATGCATGTCCTTGTCACCATTGCAGGCCAGAAGAGCGTCCACAAGCTGTTTACGGCCGGCGCCACAGTTCTGCCACACCTTTTGCACTTCAGAGCTCACCTCAAGCCTTCCCGACTTTTTGGGTTGGCACATTCTTCGCAAAACCTGCTCGGCGTTGGTCCGGGCTCGCTGTTCGTCGTCCATGGACACTTTCTCCTGTGAGCATGGCTGAAAAGCAAAGGAAACAATGGATGTGTGTTTGGCAAAGAATGGGTCCTTCTTGATTGTTGGCGGCTCAGTAGGCTGCAGGGAACTTTCAGCAAGAGCAAGAGGCACCTTCAGGGTTCAAGGTGCAAAGAAATCCTGGTTGAGGGGTCAATCATCAGGGCTGGCCTCTTTGGGGCTGCAAATCAACTCAGTGGGAGCTGGTGTCTCCGGCGAATCAGGCTGGCGGTCCTACGTGCAGATTTCTTTGACAAGTCTGAGGACATCAAGTTGTCATGACATGCTCATGCATGTCTTGCATGCACACGCATCCACGTCAAACATGCATGACCCAAACTCCCGGTCCGGCCATGATTCTCGCGAGCTCGATTTCCCGGGGGCAGAGATGGGCGTCTTGTCCGCAGGAGCTTCTATGAAAACAACCTGTTGGCTGGCCGCAGGCGGGATTGAGCTTGCAACAGTGTGGGCAGGGCTTGCAATGGTTGATTTGCATGGTGGTGTCTCGGGCTCGTCTTCCAAGAGGGCTTGCTTCTTCATGTTCTCAAGCTTCTGCTTGGCAGCCTCATCATGTCTTTCAGAAACATATTATTGCTGTCGATCATTGAAGTTTCATGAGTGCATGCATGGCAGCTAATCATATACCAAGCAACTTTGATGGCATCCAAGGGGGTGACGTTCTTCTTTTGGGATTGCTCTCTCAAGAAGGATGCCCCACGAAGAAAGCTTTCACAAGACCAAGCCTTTGATTGCAATGCACGAGGAGGTTCCGACATTGTAAAAGCGCGCTTGCAAGGCTTGAAAAGCAAAAGCTCGCATGCATGCACAATCAACCTATCACGGTGCTCAAGTTTCATGCAACCCTTCATCTGGCACGCGTACAATGATGTACGAATATGCATGCAGACCTTTTGTCCGGGCAGGTGCTCGTGCAGGATTTGGCAGGGACACTCAGCGTGCCGATTCGATCGGCATGGGTCATTTAATCGGGCTTTTTCGGGGATCGTTACATGTTCTTCAAGGGTTGGCCCCCGAAAGAAAAGTTGCATATTTTGGCCATATTTTTCATATTATTTTTTATTACACCTTTATCACCGTTTTTCGGCATTATACTCCGAATATTGTCACTGTGCATGCTTATTGGGAAATCCAATGAATCCCGAGAAATGACCCGCTGCCCCTACCACAACACTTGTTGCATGCACGCCTTTACCGCCGGGGGAAGGTTCAATGACTCTCCTCCCCAAAGGTACCGAATAACTTCACTCATCTTCGCATCCTCCCACAAGTCTCCAAAGTCGAAGTGCGCGAATACCAGTTCCGGGGAGAGGCGCTCAACCTCCGGTACCTGATCATGCAGGCTGTTTGTATGTGTTGCATGGTTTGGGAGCTCATTGCAATCTGCAAAAAAAGAGGGCACCACTCGAAGATGCTTCCGGCATTGCTCTTGTTGAAGTGCATTGAAGCTTTGCGCAAAGCGGTTGCCAAAACGTACCGGGTAGCGCCTGCACAGGATGTGCAATTTAGCAATTTGCCCAAAGTTTCAAAAGTGAATGCATGAGCGAGCATGTGCCACAAGGCTGAATAGAACACTGAGAATCAGACTGAGACCGCTTCAAATGTGCATTCCCAGTGAATCGCCGCTTTCCGGCTTTGTTCAAATATCGGGTCGTGAGATGGCGAACGCCCTTAGAATTACTCCACACTGTAGTTCTTTTCGGCGAGGGGGAGCCATAATACGCCATCCAGAAACTCTGTCGCCACACCTAAGTTGGCCCGGGAAACCACTTCGGGGGTAGCATGTGCAGCATATTGAAAATGCAATAGTGCAAGGGCTCAACCAAGGAACGGGGGTGATCCGAAGAAGTTCACGAAACCTTGGGTGACGCCACCAAAGCGAAGTGGATGGCTGCTCAACCACCCATGTTCCATTCTTCGCCATGATGAAGATGATGGCCAAAATTGTCCTGGGGAATGGCATGAGTGTCACCGTGATGCATGCCTCAGAACCCTTAAAGGAAACAAACATGACCATGCAGGGCTCCTTGCAGTGAGAAGGTTCCCATCAGCAACAGCAGCACACGATTCGTCTCCAAGAGGCATGAAGAAACTTCTGTGGGTGCTCCCCCTTGAAACCACCACCCACGATGAACAAACAAGGCCAAAGCTCGCGACGAGGTTGCACTTCGCCTCCAGAATTGTTTTCAGCAGCAACCTGAGAATGAGCGAACGAAGCTGGCCCTGTGTACACGCCACGCATGTGTCATGGTGTTGGTTTCCAATGCAACAAAAGGGCGCCATTCCACTTGCTTCCCGAAGATCAAGTGGGTTGTGCATGGGTGGCAATCTCATTCTCATGCTTTGGCGCCGCTCTGCCCACAAATTGATGTCCATCGCACAGGTCCTCAGGCCTGCCGCCCTGCAGCAGGAGCTCAGGACCGACGCTCCAGCATACACTTCAATCATATCGTACGCCTGGTCACGATGCAACATGCTGGGTACAGAAATTGCAATGTTCAGTGAATGTTACAGCTTTTGATGCATGCATAACATGCATGACGCCTGATCCCAGTTGAGCCCTTCCATATATGCCACCAGCAGGGTCACAATCAACAGCACCTCAAATCATTCCGATCGAGAACATGAGTGCCAGGAATAACTCACTGGGGTTTGGACTCCGGGCGCTTGCATTTCCATCATGCGTTGCATCACAAAATTCAGGGTCGATCGTCTCATGGCTGGCATGGTGTTGAACTCAAAGATGCATGCATGAGCCTATATAGCATGTTTTGTGTGATTCTGACGAATGTTTGCACGTTCGCTTGTGGAGGTGTGATTGCTGTGCACTGCAATGTAGCATGCCTTTCCACCCATGCCCATGCTTGTCCAATCCAAATGCAAGATTGTGCCAACAGCTGCCCACACTTCAAGGTCCATGCATTTGCAACGCCAACTACTTGCAGCACAACTCAAGCACAACGTTCATTCCCTTCGCACTCAAAGCGACCGGATGGGGGGGGGCGCACCTCGCTTCAGGAAACCGTGCCGGATCTTCCACTTCGAGCTCATGATGACAAGGCCTGGCACGGGACAGGGCTCGACTTTTGCAGTCAGAAAACTTGGCTCCCCCAACCTCCCCAGCTTTGTTCAACAATGTCACGCATTGGCTGATGCAACCTAGGTGTCTTTTTTCCACCAGCAAGCTTGTTGCTACGCGTGTGTCCAATGCACAACGCTAAGTGATGCCTTCTAGGATGTTCCTACGAAAACGCAAACTGCAATGGCTGCCCACTTCCTTGAGAAGGATTTCCCCCAGCGAAGCAAACACGCAAACGTTCCTATGCCAAGCATGCCCTCTCAAATACTTGCAGCCACCCCAATGCAATTCTGTCGAATTGCCACCCATGATTGAAAAAGCACATCAGGCTTCCTTCACCAGCTGCGGCAAGCAGTGCCTTAATTGGAAGACAAGGGGATGAAGGAATGCAGCACAAACCCAAACATAAACAACCAAGGGCAAGCTGTTGAAAAAGTTAAGGGCTACGGGGGCCACCATATGAACACGCACATACTCTAGAAACTTGATACTGTGTTTGTATGGGCCACCTCCAAATCACAATGTCAATACATGCTGAAAACGATATACATCATGTGCTGGCAAAACACCTGGACTGATTGCAGCGCTAGTCAACATCTTTGCTGTCGTCCATGGGGTCCTCGGCCGCAGCCTGCACCATCTCCTCCTGCTCCTGGCGCATGTCCGCCGCCCGCTTACCAGCGTAGGTGTCCTTGCGGCAGAGGCGGCACCCGTTGTAGATGAACCGGCATGTCCGGCAACCATAGTACTGCTCAGGCAGCACAAAGTAGGTCCACTGCGGCTTTCCACCTTCCTTCGTGGCCGGGTAAATGACCTTGGTTTGCTTTACCTTGGAAGGCCGCCCCTTGCTCAGAGCGGGTGCGCTTCTGGTCGATGGCTTGGAAGGCTTAGCGCGTTTGGCCTTTGCCTTTGGGGCGGCTGGTGGCTGATCCTTTGGCTTGGCTTTGGCTGTGGTGCGTTTGCCAGTGGGCAAGTCCGTTGAGCTGCTTGACCTTGGCTTGGTGGCCTTGGCCTTCCTGCGTGGCTTTGCCTCCTCCTCCTGATCCTCAACCCTCTCAGCCATGACAATCTGACGGCCGTTTTTTTTTCTTTGCTCCGCTGCTTTCTGCTCTGTTTCTTGGTCCGCTTCTTGGTTGTCCAGTTTCCATTGTCCTTCAAAGATTTCCGGCGCTTGAAGCTCTTTGATTTTGTGTATGATGTTGCCTTTGGCTTACGCCCCCTCTTTGCATCAGGCTTTGCTTGCTTTGCAAACGCGGTTTGCTGCGCTGGGGCCACCATAGGGCACGCACTTGTTTGCGGCAGCTCCACCTTCAGCCCAGTTACTTGCTTTCACACACACAGACATCACAACCCCAATACTAAAAAAAACAATTAAGGCAAAATGGTATTTAACCCAGAAGCCTTCTCCGGGGTGATGTCCAGGGCAGCTGCGGTCTTGGGGCTCGGAGTCTCGTGCGCAGGCAAAGCCGCTGCGAGATCGCCGATCGGCTGTGTCTCCTCCTGGCAGGGGCGCTTGGACGAATGCATGTTTGCGGTCGTTTGTTTTCAGAGATTGGACTTTTCAGGCTTGGTTTTGGCACAGGTCCTTGAAATTGAGTCACCACATCAAGTTTGCAACCCTTGCCCTTGATGTTTTACAAAAGAATGGGTCCTGGTCCGGGTTGATGCATCCCTTGCTAGGCAGCGGTGGTGGGGGCATGTTGGGCTCAGCATCTGCAGGCCTTTGGCCTGGGCAAGATCCATGCAGCAATATGTTGCTTTGATCAACCAACATTGTGAAAGGTCCAGCCCGTGTTACTAAACCCCCCAAACTCCACATAGCTGAAACGTGTGCATATACACAGTCAAGTTTCAATTGCTGCCCAATGGCAGGCCCAACAAGCCAGGCGAGGTTGACCTTATTGTGCAAAGTGAGCCGGAGAACAAAGAAACTACACCCGGTATTCCCTTTGTTTTAAAGAGCCATAACCAAAGTATCAAAATGGACCATTTGTGCAAACGCGGCGCCCTTCAAGCAGCTCAATCTCTTTCAAGACTGATGCAAGCTCATCGTACTCCTCTTTCGTCATGCTGTTCAGGAGTTGGTCGGCAAGCTTCTCACCTTCCGGGGCCCCATTTGCAGCACTTGAGGATGTATCAATCGTTGGGGTCTCTGTGTCATCCTCAAGGTCTTCAAAGAGCTCTTGGTCAACGATAGCATCACACCCTGATTCCCCATCAAGATCCATAGATTGCGCACGTAGCTTGCCAATCATCTCAAAAAGCGATTTCACACCAGCGTCCTGTAGGAGTTGCGACTCATAGAACAAAAAAACAATCATGATCACAGCATGGTTATGGAAAGAACTATCAAAATAGTCAAAAACACTCAATTATGATCGAGGTTCTCTAGGTGCTTGCCCCCTCTTCTCAGCATCACGCTGCCTTCGCCAAGCGAAGGTAAACAGCCGCCTCAGGTCCCATGCCTCGCGGTAGAACTGCGTTGGCGAGTCAACCGGTGCATTGGCAAGGTCATAGAGCTGTTCCACCTGAGGGAAGGGTCGATTGGGAAGAACAACTTCAGCTATAATTAATTATTTCATTTAAAAAAAACAGCTGAATCATGGAGAAAAATTTGGGGCACGCCAAGCACTCTGAAAGCTAGGGCCAGAATAAAAATGGTGTGATCTGAGGCTAACCCGTTTTTGACAACAGTTGTTGCAATGTGGGCATGTGCACCTGTTTTTGAAGCCCATCAACGTCGATGAACTCTGTGCCATAGCACCGCAGCATGACAATCATGGCCCCCGAATTCAGCTCCAAAGCCTTCGTGCTCGGGCTGTGGTCATCACCGATGTCCTCACGGCTAACGATGGGCCACTGCAGCCATGGCAGTTTCTTCCTGAAGCGAGACCTGATTTTCCCATCCGCCTCCCAACCAGTGGCGCAATCAGGCCACATTGCTTCAGGCATGTTGCCTCTCCCACTGAACCAAAATGCTCCAAAATATCATGGGTAAATGAAACTGCCGAAGTCAAAATTGCATGTTCACCCAACATTGCATGGCACCCACAATGCCATGCCAGCAACACCAGCGTGATTGCCGAGGTTGGACTTGATGAAGGCCAGATCGTCCTGGGTCGAAGGGCTGGCGTCGAGGTCAGGGTCAAAGACCACATGTTACATGCAGGATCTCAATGGTTGGTGCATGGCAACTTGATCTCATGAAAGAATGGTGCAAAACATGTGCGTGCATGCATGGGACATGGTCAAGATTAATGCTATGCATATAGTCCTGCTACACACCATCGTCGCTTGGGGCCCATGGCAGGCCATGGAGCTGAGAGCACCAGCGGCGCGATGTGGCCTGTGCCTGACATGGCCTAATGTGGCCGTGCTTGCCGTGTGTTTAATGTTCGCTGTTGCACCTGTAGCATGGTCTTTCGCCTGGTGTTGCGACAGATTGTGCGCGTTGCAAGCAAATGGAAAAGGCTGCTTTTGAGCTGACATGCCATGCTCATGCGTACCACGTGGCAAAATAGGCAACTTTGCAAAAGTTGCCTGTTTTCAACTTCCACTGGGCAAAGTGTGATGAAATCTGAAAGTTTGACAAAAATAAATGCAACTACGGCGTTGCAGGTAGGTATGGTATATAGGTAGAGGTAATATAAGTATAAGTTTCTGTATACAGGGATCGTATTCGTTCAAACCTCTATTTGACACCTGGGTTGGTTTAGCTGCAGTTCAACATGTTCCTGTGAGATCGCAAGGCTGAATGGCAGCCGATGCTTGGTTTTTGGGAATCCTTACCCTCACCTCTGAACTTCACCATGAGCGTCGGGGGCCGAAGGTGATTCAAGAATGTCTTGGAAACCAAAAAGTCCGAATGTGTATCCCTCCAAGGAAACCCGCTGAAGGTGCAAGCTTGCTGCAGAACTCTGATTCATCACTTTGGGGGAAGGGCCATTTCTTTTGCTCAGACCCTAGACATACCTAGTTTGCTGATCGCAACCCAGCATGTAAATAGAGGAAACCTCACAGCGGGCTTAAGCCGTTCTCCCACAAGTGGGACCCGGACAAAGGCTTCATGCATCGATCCACGGCTTCACGGGATTCCCTGTATTTCCCCCTTTTGGTTTTAAACATCACCCGTTTGGCCAGTTGTTCACATGAGTTTCTGTTGAGTGTAAATTGTCCTCCCACCAATTAACATGAAACCTGACAAAAGGATCATGTTCCTTTAGAAGGGATAGATACATATATATATATATATACACACAAAACACATATGCATATATACACATACTGTGTGTATATATAAATATAAACTTGCATATACATATGTGCATATATATATATATATTTACATATGTGCATATATATATATATGTATAGATTGGGAGCCCGACCTCACGACCTTTTTTTTCTCACAACGACAGCCGCGTGGCGCCGCGGCGCTGCGCCAACGGCCTGTGCCGCGTCTGCTGCCTGGCGCAGCTGGCGGGCCTGGAGTGCCGCAGCTCGGACCGGGCTCAGAGTAAGTGGAGGGAGGGGGGGGGTGGGGGGAGGGGGAGGGGGTGGGCCTGGCGTAGTTTGGTGGTTTGGTGGTTTGGTGGTTGGGGCGGGGTGGTTTGGGGGGGGGGAGGTTTGGTTTTGGGTGGTTTGGTCTGTGTGTGTGTGTTTGTGTGTCTTTGAATAGGAAGCCAACATATGGGGATATAGGGGGGGGTGGTGTGTTTTGAGAGGGCCTGGTTGGATGGCTTGAAAGGGAAACGAGAAGGACGCCGCTCGTTTTGTGGAGGGCTCCCCGAAAAAGAAATACAAAACCCAAATGGATTTTAGATAGGGGCTCTTTGGTAGAGATGAATTAGGTGGAGGGTCTGTCCACCAACCACTTTTGAGGGTTCCTTTGGCAGCTGGTTGGTCTAAAGGGGTGAAAAGGAGACCACTATTTCGAGGGGCCCCCTATTTAGAGACACCCATTAAACATATGTATGTAATGATTGTCTTTGCCGGCTAAGGGGATAGCAAACAGTTGCCCCTTACCTCTTAAAACGGACTTGGGTGCATCATTTGCTGAAAAGCGTTTCCCCGTGTCGGTAGGTGCTTATTTTTCTGGAGGTCCCGACTTTTGGCCAGTCGGATGGCTTGTTTTAACGTTTTTCCTTGTGTTTCCATCATTTTACCTGGACCTACTTGTGTTTAGTGCAAAAGGACAAGAGACACAGAAGGCCACAAGCCACTGCACAGCTCTGACTTTCCGGTGAGACCTCGGGTTTTGTGAGGTTTGCACGAGGATGATGTGCCTTGGCCGCGGTCAGGGTGGGAGAGGTGAGGTGCATGTACGGGTGGGTTGAATGGGTCAAACCCGTACATGTCATACATATATATATATATACACGCATATTTATTTATGTACTTATTTTTCCTACGTATGTATACATATATGTATATACGTGTGGAGTTCATGACCAGGTCCCTGTAAGGAGTTTAGCATTCGGTGACCATCGGTGTTGGTGGGGCTCAGGACGATTTTCTTCTGTCCGCAACTTGGCAGCATTCTCAAATTGCATGGCAAGCTTCGCTGGCCGTCTTACGGGGCTTGCAATTTGCCTGGCTGGGGCCAGCGCATGCCTCCCAACGCCACAAGTCTCAATCCCTGTAACCCACTTTCTGCAGGATGGGTGGAAAATGGCACGGAGGGATATGAACATTGGCTGGTTTGCCGCGCAGGACTCGGAAGAGGAGGGTGCGGACGCAGATCGACAAGGCAGGGAGGTTCGTGATGTATGTCGTGGGTGGGCGGACTAAATATGAAGCATTGGGAAAGCGTTCCCGACAACAAGCCTCGCTCATTCTGTAGCATGAGTTGTTTGATGCCGTCGTTTCTTGATGTGCGCTGATTCCAATTCCCTAAGACATGGAATTGGGGGAGGTGAAATTTCGACGTCCCTGGAATTTCATGTAGGCAAAACCCATTTGTCCCTTTTGTGGTTGGAAGACTGCCCTTCCCTTTAAGGTCGGGGGGATGTGCGCTGGCTCGCGCGCATGCGATTCCCTCCAGGCTGCGCAGCTCGCTGCGGCGCGCTGGCAGCGACGGAGTGTGAGAATCACCGCACCTTGGACTGCGGTCGACTCGTTTCTTGAGTGCATTTTGCTTAGGGATGTTAGGACTTTAACTTTTTGCCAACTCATGGGTTTTCCACTAAACCACTAAAAGTAGCAGGGGGGCAGAAAGCAACCGAGTTTTATGATGCAAATATTTGATTGGTGGCCTTTGGGGGTCAATGGGGTTTGAACATGAATGGATTCCAGCAGTTCGCTGTCTCATCGTTTACGGTTTCCATCAATGTGTCCCAAGAACTGGTCGTTGGAGCTTGAACATGGAATTGCGGGAGGGGGGCTTTCGACCCCTGGAATTTCATTTCGGGTAACCCATTGTTCACCCCCCCCCCTGCCCGTTAAGGTAGGGGAGATGTTAGAGCTTGTTGGGGGGTGGGTAGGCTGCAGCCGCTGCTGCGCTCAGCTGGGTGCCGGGCGCAAAGCCTGCGCAGTGCACCGGGTGGAGGCCTTTGCGGCCTGCAGGCAGGGCTTTCATCGGGCCGTTTTGTTTTTTTTCCCTCCCCCCCAAGAAGACACAGAGAGACACCCAGTGGGATGCTTCCCCATTTCCCTCGTTTCCTGAATTTCTGGACTTTTGGTCGCTTTTTGGGAAGACCATGTTAGTGGTAAATACAAAGTTTGCAGGTGTTTTTAACCAATCCACTCAAGAAGTCTGTCCCCTCCCCTTTTGTTGAGAGGGGAGACCCTATTGAAATCAAGTGACAAGCGAGTGCAAACCCCCAGTTCAGTGGCAGTGATTCTTCGCTTGCTGTTTCGAAAAATGGTCTCAAAAGAAAGGGTTTCAATTCTTTTTCTACCTCACTGAACACTGGGATACTTACTCCCTTGTGACGGGGGATGACCAAAGCAACATGGTGTGTGTGTGTGTGTGCGCGCTATCCTAAATCGATTCCTCGAGGTCCGGTGGGCCCATCATGAGGGTTTCTTAGATACGCGGGTGGAAGGCTTGCAGGACTTTTGGCAGACTTTTTTTAGGTTTTCATTCTGACTCCGGTTGGGTTCTCTACTGGGAGGTCGGCGCCGCATCGCATGCTTGAGGCATCGCATGTCTGAGAGAGGTGCTTTGCAAGTGGTAGGGGCGACTGTTTTGTTAAAGCAATTAGTGGCCAGTGATGACATGGGTGCCTCATGTCTGGAGTCTCTTTGAGGGGAGCTGTTTTCTGCTTGGCGGACACTTCTGCCGATGCGACTTGCCAAGTAGCGCTAGTGTAAGATTCATGCCGTCAAACCGGACAGCTGCCCAGCCAATGGGCCACTGGCCACTGCAATGTGAAGGGAGTCGCAGGAACCTGGCGTGCTCTTCAGCCGCGGATGATGGATGCAGCAACAGGCCACCTTTTGGTCGGACGTCGGAACGGGCATGGCTTGGACTAGCCTGAGTTCGCAGGCACTTGGATGGTGAATAGATGAGTGTGCCTTACTCGAAAATCAAGACGCCTGGCTCCCGTAGCTTTTGGTTTGACACGCTTTCTTCTTCTTGTTGGCATTGACAGTGGGAGAGCAGAAGTGGCTCCTTACACTTCCCCCTCGGCGAAGGGCACAGCGAGTCGAACATTGCAAGCAACAAATGTGCTGAATGTGCAGCCATCTGAAACTTCGTGAATAGGGGCCATGTTCAGATTGCGAGTTTGCCGGCCGTGTATTGTTGACACCCCCTGAATACCATCGCAACCCCCTTGGCAAGGGGCGCACAGATCGTTTTCGGCCCCACTTCGTGCCACATCCCGAGCTGGCGTTTGTTTTCGGAGACGGGGAAGCCGCCCAAAACAAGGTTGTTGCTGGGACACATTTTACATTTTTGCTCATGGTGGTTCAGCGGTTGAAATCCAACCACTTAACTGCTAAAGTTGAATCTTCGGCTCCCCTCCCAACGTCAACCAAGAAAAGTCGGGGTTGGTTCACGAAGAAGCCCAATTCCAAATTGGGGGCTTCGCGAGGAGAGAAGGGGGGCCAGAGAGTGTCCAAGAAAAGGCGGATCCACTCTCCGGAGCTGACTGCAGGTGCTGCAGCCGTCATTGCGGGCTCCAGCCGCGGCGCCAGAGCTGCAGCCTGCATGGCGTAGAGACCGCCCATGCCAAGACGGGCGCAGGCGGGGAAGAGTTCCGCGAAGCCTCAGGCTCACAGGGGTCCTTTTTGGTGGTTTTGCTAGAAAAATAGATGGCCCTGGTTTACCTGGTGGTTTAATCATCTAACAGGGCCATCTATTTCCCCTAAAAGGACACCGATGCTCAAGCTCCACTCCCTGAGTTTTTGGACTTTCGTCGCTTTTTGGGTTTAGACCGTTTTAGTGGTAAATTGTGGTTTCAAGCTCACTTCCTGACATTTTCTGGACTTTAAGTAGGTGCATTTTGCCAAGGAATGTTAGGACTTTATTTTTTCGCCAACTGATGGGGTTGTCCGTATTCAACCACGAAAAGGTACACTTTTAGAAGGGGAGCATGAACGTCCACCAAGTGAGGGAAGCTGAGTCTAGGGGAAAGACAAGGCAGGCAAGGCCACTGTGGAAAAGCGGGGGAGTACACACACACACACCCACACCCACACACCCACCCCAAACACCTACCCACCCACGCCCGCACGCACTCACTGACGCATCTCAGACTTCGACAAGTTTTGCTTTTGTTTCTGTTTGTTGGGGGCGGGGGGGCGCCCCCCTTTTTTAGTGGTTGCTTTTTTTAGTTTCCCTGAAAAGACCGCAAAAAACGGGGTACCCTCAAACCAAGACAGACCCCAATCGACTCATTCCTCGACTCAGGTCCTGCCAGCCAGGCGCCCGGCTGCAGCGCGCCAGGCTGCGGCAAGAAGGTCGCTTGGCCCAGGGTTCCCTGAATGCCGTGGGTCAAAACCAATGGTACCATTTCGGGGTAGGTGCACCACCCATTTTAGAACTTATTTTAGTGGGGAGTGGGATGTTCACTGGGGGTACGGGATTTTGACCCATGGCCGTTTGTACACATGGCCCTTCTCGTGTTCCGGTTCGGACCTGGGCTTTAGTCAGTTTCTTTGGTTTAGTTGCCATTTTGGTGGCCATCAGCAAGTTTGGATTTTTTTGGTTGGGTAAATCCAGTCAGGAAGTGAGTAGCCGCTTGGGGCCCCAGAGAGTAAAACCAGCAAAGCCATGGGGTCTGGTCCCTGTGAATGCACATGGCATGCAGATGCGAAGTCAAGCTTGCTAAGTTAGCTAAGCCGCACTATCCGAAGTTGTGACAGTTGCCACATAGCTGGGGAAACATCGTCAACCTTGAGCTCGCTTTGCTCCGCATACTAAGCTCGCCATCATTGTTTCACAACAATCATTATGCATGCATGCATGCATGCATGCATGCATGCATACCTACCCACCTGCCTAGCTAGCTTGCCAGCTAGCTAGCTACCTACCTACCTGCCTTCACGTATATATGTATACACATTCAGGAACTTTTCTAGAAATATGTACATTGTCCAATTGCACACTATGTTATATACGTAATTGCGAGTGCGTATGCACAGTTCATAAACAAACAGCAATTGAACACAGACTCCGTCTCGGCGGTAAGGTTTTTCACCTTCCCTCCACGATGTTTGGTGTTTTCGAAGTGGCTCGTGGCCGCGCCCAGATTCAACTTGCTAAAGGACAGAGTGGCCAACCCATCCAACAAGCAACCAATTTGCAATGTGTTGCGACCCCATTAAGTAGCAAGTGAAGGGTGAGGTTCCGTACTTGCACGGCTTGACTTGAACATTCCACCGCATGTCCTTTGACAGAAGGCAATGTCAACTCTGCGTTGCTAAACACCCCAAATGATTCGGGCTCTTTCCACAAAGAGTGGGCTCCCGAAAATGAATCAGGAATGTGTTTCCCGGGTTTCCGCGTGAACCCCCCCTGGTTGGTGGTTTGGATTGGTGGTTTGGATTTGGCTTTGAACCCCTTGATCTTATAGGGGGTATATGGGCGAACTCCTCAACCACCAATCCACCGGGCTCCAAACCGCCAATCCAAACCGCCAATTAGAGAAAGCTGCTTGGTTGTTGGACAATGTTGTAGTTGACTCGCTCGGAGATCCAAATTGGTGTCCGAGGTAAATTGGAGCTCCAAACCACCATCCAGGAGGCTGAGTGTAAGTTTCCAGGGATTGATTCCCCATTCTTTTCAGCCATCGTTCTTTTAAAAAAACCGATCGCCATTTCCAATCAGGGTTGTTGGTGGTTTTCTAGAAAGATTCGGATCCCTGGAAATAATAGAAATGGACACTTCACCTAGAGAAACACTGAACAACTGGGCTGCCCTCAGATCCCCCGCTAAAAGTGACTCACTTTCAGTGGGCTAAATGGAAACTACCCCTACAAACCTAGAAAGATGGTCGCCCCCTCCCGCTGAGGTTATGAGTAGCTGCAGCCAGAAGCGCTGCCGGGCACACTGCCCCGGGCCGTGCCCACTTCACGACAGGCCAAGCAAACCCGCACGCCCGTGTTCCAGAATTCGGTGTGTCCTTCTTTTTTTTGGGGGGGGACCCCCCAAATTGGGTTGGGAACACCATAAGGAACCAGGTTTCGATGAGAACAGGTGGTCTGTATGTCTTTTGAAGGTTGGAACTCCCATATTGATATTGTTTCTTGTTTTCCTTTTGGTTTCCCGCACAAAAAGAAACACTAAACATGGGGTATACCCTAAAACCAGGCACACCCAGTTGGTCGCCCTGGACGATGTGTTCCGGTTTGGGTTTACTTTGAAAGCCATCCGCTGGAGTCCACATTTTCGAAGACACGCTGGTTTAGTGGCTTGCCTCGGCGACACTGCATTGAACTCTCGCTCACTGTCACATTTTGCCGTCCAATTGATTCTTCATTTGTCTCCTCTGTCTTTTTCTTTCTCTTGCTCCTCTGCTCCTGGTCCTGCTCATTCTCCTCTCTTTCTCTTCATCCTCTCCCTCTCTCTCTCTCTCTGTTTGCCTCTCTGTTTGCCTCTCTGTTTGCCTGTCTGTTTGTTTGTCTGTTTGCCTGTCTGTTTGTGTGCCTTTCTCTCTCGAAACAGAGTGAATTCAAAAGTTAGAAAAGATTAACTCCCAAGTTAATGCTTTTGAGTTTGAGGTTCGTGGACCTTTTATTCCAGGAATTAACTTAGGATTTAATTCTTGGCCCTTGCATTTGGGACCTTGGGATTAACTCTGGAGGTAATCCCCTTGGTGGCTGGAACACTCATTCCAGGAAGTAACGTCTGATTTACTTCTTTTCCATTGCATGTGGGACCTTGTGGTGAGCTCCATCATCATCATCGTCATCGTCATCGTCATCATCCTCATCCTCATCATCATCATCATCCTCATCCTCATCATCATCATCATCATCCTCATCATCATCCTCCTCCTCCTCATCATCATCATCACCCTCATCATTACGATCATGATTATTCTCATTAATCAATTATCATGTTTATCATTATTCGTTTTTCCTTATTATCATCCTCATCATCCTCATCATCATCATCATCATCATCATCATCATCCTCATCATCATCATCCGCATCCTCATCATCATCCTCATCCTCATCCTCATCCTCATCGATCATCATCATCCTCGTCATCCTCATCATCATCCTCATCATCATCATCCGCATCCTCATCATAATCCTCATCATCATCATCATCATCATCATCATCATCATCATCATCATCATCATCATCATCATCATCATCATCATCATCATCATCTTCATTTGCTTCGTTTTTCCTAGCCGGGGCTGAGAAAGCAGAACCCCACACCAGTGTGCTTAGTGTGTAGAAACAAGCGTGGCTGCGACAGCTTGTCTGCTGTTGCCAATTTCATTCGGATGGGAGCCCCCTCCCAGTTTAAGTTGAAGGCTCCCTGGTCCCTGGCTGCCTTTTGGACAAATCACTTCGCCAAAAGATTTACATCTGGAGTTAATTCTTTTCCAGGCGTTGTTTGCGGTTCTTGCGTTTTGAGCCAGTTTCTGCCCCATGTAGCAAACGTGAGGTAAGTTCTAGGGATTCTTGTATCTTATGGTTATTGATGCTTGCAGCCACAACAGGTGGCAAGGACGGTGCCGGATCTGGGTCGAATTTTGTCGCAACAGACAGCCAAATCTGGGACTATTGACGAGGGGCCTAGAAAAGAATTAAATTCTGAGTTAATTCTTTTCCGAAGGAGGTATTGGCATGCTTGCTGCCAGAAGAATTTGATTCGAAGATAATTCTTTTTGAGACGGGGAGTTCGCACCCACTGCGTCACATGGAATTAACTTCGGAGTTAATCTTTTCTAACTTTTGAATTCACTCCCTTCCTTTTTCTCTCTCTCTCTCTCTCTCGCTTTCTCTCCCCCTCTTTCTGATGGCCGCTGCGCGGACGCTGCAGCCCACCCGGCCGATCGCTTGCAGGTCGAAGCCCGCGGAGGCAGCGGCGTTTCGGGCAAAGACGAGGGGGGAATGCGGGGGGAATTCCATGGTGGTGTGTCGTTTTTCATGGTTTTAAAGGGACACCAGAAAGCCAAACCACAATTTGAGTGAATCCTCTGAAAGAAGTCACACCCTTGTGTTTTTTGTGAATTCCATGTAATTGACCCAACCCCCGTGGTACGGCAAGAGTATGTTGAAGCTGAGCTGTATGATATGACTCCAGGTCGCAGTTTCAGCTGGTCTTTTGATTTGTTGCTGCTGTGGGCGATGAGTGAGATGCGGGAAGCAATCAAAAGATTACACCTCTTTGCTGGCCTGCAGTCAAACATAGAGAATGGAAGGGGATAAAAGGCAAGTGCTGGCAGATTGTGACCTGCGAAGGCACCTCTACGTTCTCCGGGCAAAAGTGTCGTGGTTCAGAAGTTCCGCATGGGCTCGAGAAGTTCATCCCACCAGGCTGTCTTCTGACAATTCAACCGTGTTTTCTCCCCTCCGAGAAAATGCGGGACCATAGGAGTGTTTTTTGGTTGGCTTGCTTGACAAATTAGAAGGCTCTGGTTTACCTGTTGGTTCAATCGGCTACCAGGGCCATCTATTTTCCAAAAAGGGCACCTGTGTGCGGGACCGAAATTCCCGGTTTTTTTCACTGCGGTTGCAGTGACCTGCGTGTTGGCGTTGTGTGGCGAGGCCGCTGTCCCCGCCCGATGTGCGGGGCTGAGAGCAATGGGCATGTTTGCCCATGCAAGGGGTGTCTCAAAATAGGGGGACCACAAAATGGGTGTTGTCCTTTTGGTTCTCTTGAAAACACAAATCCGGTACCTTCAAAAAAGGGGGCACCCATTGAAAAATTGGCTTTCCTTCCTTTTCAGTTCCATTCAAACATCGGTCCTTCCCCAATGTTTGTAGCCACACCCCATTTACCGTTGATGGTTTGGTCCCTCGTTGGCATTAAATTGAATTGATTTACCCTTGAAGCCCAAGAAAAGAGACCCTTAACAACATGGCATGACGGGGGTCACCCAGTCATGCACCCCTGTCTGACGAGCAGGAGGTCCCTACCATTGTGTAGGCTATCCCTTACTTTATGGATGGAACCCACCCCCCAATCAATTGACAAAAGCCGACCTTTTACCCTTTTTGTTTTCTGTGTTGGTCTATTTTTGGCCAAGGTTCCGAAAGGACCTTGTGTTTCCCTTTAGTCAAAAAGGTCCTGGACTTCTGTTTGCCAATCCACTCGTTCGAAAGTGAGACAAGATTGCATGAATGCGACATGGACATCGCATGGCGCTATTCGCTGAGGGCGTTGGCCCTTCACTTGCTGCCGCCGCAAATCAGACTGAGCGACACGCGTGCTATTGGCTGGCGAGCTCGCTATCGTGCGCGCGCGAGAGCAAAAGGGAAGGCGTACACTCCCTCAGAAAGCTCCCCCAATTGGCCTCTGCAAATGGCTCCAAATCCTCCAAAGCGGTCACTTTGGAGCTTCCATGTCAGTCTTGGAGGGTAACAAGAGCTTGGCGGATTGGTGGTTTGGATTCGGATTTGAACGAGTCCAGGTTTTGTAAAAGGGCAAATCGGAACCCCTTCCACCGAACCACAAGGCACCGCCAACCCATTGTTTTATGATAATATAGATAAAATATAATATATATATATATATCGATATAGATATGCATATTTCGAAACCAAATGAGAAACCCTTCCTTTTCAAAGCACAGGATACCTCAGGGCTTCGGCTCCAAACCGCCACTTCCCTTTGAGGGAAGCTGATGTTAGAGAACTTGATTTTGAGTGAAGCTCGCAGCCCCCACCCCCCGCCATTTTAGGTCTGCATTTTTTTTGAGTTTGTTTATATATATATATATATATATGACGCGAGCTCACCGATTCGGGGGTATAACGGTACAAGGAGCTCGCCATGTCAAAAGATCCTTTTACTTGGGGATCCGATTCGTAATTCAGTTTTTGGAAGCATCACAACATTTGCAGCACATAGTTTGTGTCCTTTTGATCGGTTAGTTTGCGTAGAAATAGGATGGGTTCCACTGGTCTAGATTGGTTTTATACCTCCAATTTGTTTCCCACTTAGTAATATGGCAATCAAAACTGTAGGCCAGGGTGGGGAGGTGCGACTGGGCATCCGGATGCTTGTGCCCGTGAAGGTGTGCGTTGGCCGAGCGTGTGTGCAAACCGAAGCCATATGTCCAGGCCATTGCCATGCAGCTTTTGTGTATTTGCTCAAGGAGCTTGCGATCCCTTGCCCTAAGAGCAAACCACGTAGAGTTGCGACCCCAAACTCTCGGCTGAAAGTGATGTCGTCAATGGTTGGACTCAGCAATGTGGATGTGCCTTTTTTTAGGGGACCCCCCCCCCCCCAAAGAAAGAAAATAAGCTCAGGTGATGTCCCCAACAGCATGCGGTGCTCGTATTAGTGCTCGCAGAAACTCGTGGAACCCTGGTGGAACCCTGGTGGAACCCTGGTGGAACCCTCGTGGAACCTTACCTCAGGGCGGACCCCCCCGGAGCCTATCTGGGCTGAGACCCCAAAGCTTTCAGCTGTTGAAGAAAAAAAGATAACTTTAAAGGACTAAAATAAATGGCTTTCCGATTGGATTCCCGTTAAACCCAAGCAACTGGGGGTTGCCTTGTCCGCTGCGCGCCGGCCGTTGGCGGCGTCAACGCCGACTTCGGGCCATGTCGATGGAGCCGATGGCCGTGTTGCGGCCGACGGAGGCGGGGGAGGGAAAGAAACGCCTTTCAAAGACGTGGCGGTGCCCAGCCAGTTGGTTCGGGTCTTCCATGCCCACAAAAAGTTAGACTTGTCGCATCTGTTCGCAGTTTTTTTGAAAGGTGCTTGGGGTTTTCCATTCAGCCCACAAGTTAAACTGTTCGCAGGGGATCAGAGGACAGCCAAGTGCAGCCATACCAAAGGGAGACGGCTCTGACTGATATGACTTAATGTCCTTATGGCTCTTGAAATGACTCAACAGTGAGGCATGACTGGTTGCATGGCACAAAGATACCGTAGCTTGTTGCTTGGATTGGATGCACATGGCTCGTTTGCGCTTGTCAACTTCATTTTGGATTATTGTCGTTGATTTCTATGGGCGTTTACTTGAGTCGCGCAGCCATGCGCAGCCTGTGTCTGGTATTTTCTGAATATGATTAAATGGTGTTCAGCCTCGCCGATTCTTCCAAAGCAATAGTTGCTCTATGTTCTATAAGGTCAGCTTACATCGCGAAGCATGAGCAAGCACTGGGCAGTAACTGCAAATAGAGTTCCAGAGAAGTGGTGCAACCGCGCTTTAGGAAGTCACAGCAGAGACATTCTGCTTTCATGTCCGGGAAATGCCCACCACGCAGGTAAGTACTCCCTTTTCCTGAGTTCTGTGAGGGCCTTCTCAGGAGGAATGGGGAGATTCATTTCATGAGGCAAGTTCGAGTCCCTACCTTGGGGGGGGGGAGGGGGGCGGGGGGAGGGGGGGGGTAGGCCGAATACTTTTTTTGCGGATGCCGAGCTGAGGAGCCGACGCCGCTGCGGGCGTCCTTGAGGGAACTGTCGCGCATCGCTTTGCCAATGATGGTGAGCAACACGCTGATGCTGCCCCTTGACTGGCGAAAATCAGCACCTGGCCACCTGAGGTCGAGGCTTGATTTGTGAGCAAAGGAAAGCTCGCATCCAAGCCACAGTGGCATTCACCCGTAAAGTGCAACCTTTCACAGGGGAACTCCGGAGTGCCGAGGGCCCAAAAGGTTGGAGGAACACAGGTTTTTCTTTGCTCTGTGGCCTTCGCCCCGCTCCGGGCTTTCAGGAATGCGGAACAAAACCTCCCCTTTTTGAGGGTTGGGAGGGTCCCCTACTAAAATCGACTACAGAGAAAAGGGTACCCTTATTCTAACCTCTCTACTGGAGAGCCTAGCAGGCACTGGCCACACGAAAAGCAGTGTTGCAAAGATGAGATTGCCAGGCACAGACTTTTTGAAGAAAGGTACTCTTTTTAAAAGTTGCTAAGAGAAACGCCTGCTTGGTGTCGTTCGCGTTGAACGCCTGAGGTTGAACGAGTTTACCAACATGATCTGCCTGAGCCACGTGGGAAATACCGCTGAAATGGCAGCAGTTGGCTTGGGCAACATGATGCAGCGGCTCGGGTTACATATGGGCCTGTTTTTTTGAGGGTACGCCAATTTGGTTGGTTTTGAACAGTGAAGTACAATAGTGAAACCAAAAGGAACAACACGATTTGTGGAGTCCTTGTTTCCTTTTTTTTCTCGTTTCCCTTTTTCACGCACGTGGAAAGCGTCCAAACTTGCACAGCAGCCGAATCGGGGCAGTTGCGAGATAGTTTTGGCATGCGATGATAGAACTTCGACTCTGTTTGGTGGTTTAAGGACCCAAACAGAAGCCAACCATTGCTTTCAATTGAGAGACATGGGCTTTTTGTGACGTATACGAGCTTCTTGATGTTTCAGATGGGACCCCCCAAAACAAACACGATATTTTCGGAGTCGTACCTCTCTTGCCGGAACCGGCTTTGGGTGTGGTTCCTTCTTAGTTTGCCCAGTGGATCCATGTCCATATAGGTAACCAAGGGGCTTGCCACCCGGGAAAAAGAAGATGCTTTTTTTATACCTGGGATGCAACTGGTTGATGGCCGACTTTCCCGGGCTTGCAACTCGGATTGCCTGGGAGGATCGCTAGACAAATACTAGGAAACAAAATACTTTTGGATTTCCTGGGAACGCATTGCTAGATAAAACGGTGGGAAACGCTTTGCTAGACAAAACCTGGGAACCACATTGCTTTTGATTTTTGGAACCTTAAAGCTCAAAGGTTGGGGAATGCTGAGGAACTGCTTTGCTCTAAGCCTCGGCCTGGGTCTTACCAGCGCTCTGGACACCTTGGTGAGTGCAGCGCATGGAGCTGAGCATTTTGGGCTGTGCCACTCGGCGGAAATTTCGGAGCCGTCGGACTTCGGGAAGTGTTTGCGAAGGAAAGTCCACGGAACTATTTTTACAGAATGCTGGGTTTCAGTGTTGCAGGGGTTCAACAACTTTTGGGGGTGATTCTGAGTCCACCCACGCCGTTTTTCTTTTCTGTTTTTTTGGGAGGGGGTAAGGGGGAGTCACTCACAAGAGTTGTTGTTCAGTCTGTTTCACAGCAGGGCCACTGGGCCTGGAAATGGGTCGCCTTCTGCAGATTCGCATAAAACCCAGAAAGCCATTAGAGGAATCTCCTCTTAGCCTCAAAGTGTTCCATGAGAAAACGTAGGTGAGCCAGCGTCAGCACATTTTCCATGCCATTGCTCAAAGCGCGCACTGGAAAGAACTTGGGCATCCACGATTCGGGCGTCCTTTTGTTGCAGCCCGCTTATTTGAACGAAAGCATGGCTGAAGCCACCCATGTTGGGGCTTCCCGTATTCAGAGGCAAACTATGTTCAAAACTTCCCCGACTCGTTGCTATTTCCACCTTGTACACAGATGTTGCGCAATTAGCTTGAGCCGTTTCGATTCGTGATGGCTACGCTGGTAATATCCCACTGAATCACTGGGCTGCGCTTTTTACTCCCTTCCATTGACAAGCAATGCTGAAAAGGTCAAGTCCCCTTTGAGACCATGCAGCACCATTGGACAGCGACAGGACCTTCAGCAAAGCGCCAGGACATGTTCTGCATTGATGTCAATATTATGTGTTTTGCGGTTTTTAGTCTACGACCTACGCCCTGAATACACAGACGCTGCAAAGATATGTTGCATTTCTGGAAAGCCAGGGAGACATCTTGACATCGCTCCATTTGTGCAGGCGCATGTTGGGACATGTTGCCGTGTTTGTAGACTTCCTAGTGAGTCATGACATGGACGTGCCGAACTGGTTTGCTTGCAATCTTGCTGGTCGTGGGTTTTGCGCACCAGCGCCATCAGAGGTTGCCACTATTTGCAGAGATGCAGGCTGGCTTGGGGTTCAAAATTAGAGGACCCCAAGTTGTTTTTCTCTTCTTTGGTGCCCTATGTCTCGAAGACTGTGGACAAAATCAATTTCGCGCCTAAGAAAGCCTGGAATGAGATTCGACCTTGCTGTAAGTACCAACAATACCAACACGAGCGTGGGGATTTGCAGCACATGGTCAAGTGCTGGTCGAGTGCTCTTTGAGCTTCACCGACTTTAGGCTTCTTGGGCTCGGGCCACATTTGCTTTCCACGAATGTCCGGCAAAGGCTTCCAGGCTAGCCACTATGTTAACCAGTTGAAAACCTAAACACGTAAAACCTAGAGGTAGCCATACCTGGCTTATCAAAGTGGTAACTGGAAGCACTGGGTTAGGTATGGACATCAGGCATTTTTTGACATGTCAGGGCCTTGTGCACCTTGCAGCTGCTGTGGATGATCCCTTTGCTGTGGTTTACAGAGCCATTTCTTCTTGCACTTCGGCAAGACCCACGTGTTGCCCGACACGCAGCTTCCTACAACCGCGTTGCCGTATTCGGCCTTTTCGCAAATTTTCAGCACCAGAGCAACATTGCCTTCCTCCGGAACAAGCGCTCCTTGGCCTTTTCTTTTCAAAGTGCCAAAGGTGCTCTTTGACAGTTTCGTTGGGCTCGGGGCAAGCTGATTTTCCGGAACTGGGCAACTTATGTGCAGACGCAGGTTGTGGCAATTACGGCGTTGAATGCCGTTGGCTGGCTCGCTTGTGAAAACAGCAGGGCGGAATTGGACCTAACTTGCTCGCATAAAACCTTATATAATCAGCTTTTATATCCCTCTCCTCAATCTGACTTTCCAGAATATCCTTGATGTGATTCTGTGGTCAGCGTCGCGTGCGCACTGGGAATGGGCTGTGGCCCCTTGTCGACACTACAATTACATTAAATTAGTAGTCATACATCGGCAACACGTGGAACATCAACACCTACATGCATGCACACACACGCACACACATGCATGCATTATCCACATTGAAGCCTAGCACTTAGCGGTGCATTAGAAACGTCCCGTTTGATGTGCCATTGCATTACCTGTAGTTTAACTACGCCGCGCCACACTAATTTGCATAGCATGTGTAACTTGACACAACATTACATTGCGGGGTGTTACGCTGCGTGCGCATATGCGCGCGCACACGCACATGCACGTTGGCATACATGCCCTCGCTTGCATTCTTTCATGCACACGTGCATACATGTTCGCGCACAAGCGCATATAATTATTCAGATAGGCTCACACATGTAAATGCATCGGGTGCCCATAGTACAACGTGCAACATACACAACACATAGATTCCATTACCTAACGCAAACCATTTGCATCCACATAGGTGTAACTTGCCTATTTGATACCTATATATATATATATTGCGCACGTAGGGTGTAACCATTTTGGTTGGATGTGTTTTTGGGCCAGAGGTCAAACCCAGCGTCAGGACTGCCGGGGCCTGTGACATGGATCGCAGTCTGCACCAGCGTGTTGCACATCGCCTGGGCGGCGGTCTTCATCGTGGTGCTGGATCTGGGAAACCGGGGCGCTGGGTTCGCCAACGTGTCCACCTGGACGACTCTGCGGCAAAACTGGGCGCTTTTTTGGGACAGGTGGTTTCTTTAGGTCGGAGGGTTTTTGTATTACACCCTGGGATTGCACCCTTGGTAAATGACCCGGCATGGTTCAAAGTAACACGGTTTTATCCGGAAATGCGCCTAAATGGGGCAAATACCCAGTGGGTGTATTCCCAGGGTGTAATACATACACCCTTATATTATGTTGTTTTTTTTGACATTGCGCAGGTTCCACAAGATCCAACTTTGTCGTTTCGGGGCGAGAAAGCATTGATACACGACAGTTCTGTGGCCTTTGCAGGGCCAATCGCTGCAGTGTCATGGCTTTGTTTGAGGCATTGTTGCCCTCAGCATCAGCCAAAACGCAAGGATGTGTTTTCAAGGAGCCTGTTGCCAACATTGAATAGGCCTTGTTCTTAGCTCTTTCCAGTCATGGCCTGCTGTTTCAAACGCCCAACACCTGCTTGAGTTTCAACAGGGCCTGATTTGGGCTTGGCCTGCGTGCTCAAACCCAAGGCTTCAATTTTCGCTGTCCTCCAGCATCGTGCTCTGCCGCAAGCGGCAGTTGGCTGGCACTGCCTGCCAACTTCTGGGTGTGCAGCAGGACTGAGACCCTACCCGACACGGCCCTGTGCGACGGGCCCAGGGCTTGGTTGTACGGAAGACCCTACGGGTAGAGCCAAGAAAACATCCAACGGCTCACGCGGCTTCGGTTGCTATGATCCTTGTTACATTCCTCCACGCCCTTAATGTGCACCTGTTCTACGCCGCTCTTACCACAGAATGGATGCCATCGCACATTGCACGGACCAATGCCTGCAGCCATTCTGCTTTCCTTGCACGTTTTAGCCTTGCCACATCTTGCCACCTTCTGGCTTCTCCTTGCTGCAGTGTTTGGGAAGCCTCAAAGCGTAGTGAGAGCCACCCACTGCGGGTTGGTAAAAAACCCAGGTGTTGCAGGAATGTTTTTGGTCTTGGCCCAGCCTTTCTGTGGCAGCCCCTCAAGGGATGTGGCACCCCGGGCACCTTCCGGAGCCTTTCTGGAGACGTCCCTTCTATCGTTCTCCAGGAAGCCTTCCGGTGCTGGAAGGGCTACCTCGCGCCCCGGTGATGCTTGGGATTCAACACATCGAGCGTGAGGGCTCAGGGCTTTGGGGCAGCCAAAACTTGGCCCTCAGAGCCACACAAAGGGCAAGGGGGAGTCATACTGTGGATGGACCGAATCCCGCACCGATCAGAACTCTGGAAGGATGGTTCCCCTGTAAACTCCAACAAACAATGGTTTCCCATGAGTGAAGGGATTTCGCAACCATTCACAGTAGCAACCTAGCGACACTAACCTGTAACATGCTGTTTTAACAGTGGCCTGCGCGTGTCATCAAGAAAGGTAGAGCCCTTGATCTCGCTTGAAGCTACACACCCAGGCTGTGGCCATCCCGAGCACCGTGATGCTTTGCAGCAACTCCTGGTTCTGGGACCTTTGTGCAGCTCGGCGCTCCGCCTTTGATTCCAGTGATGTAGCAACAGGTCCAAGCAGATGGTGAGCACACTGCTTTCGCAGGCTCATGCTTGGCACTCCTAGGTCTTGGTGGTAGGCACGCTGGGGCCGACAGCGCTCGCCGCGCACGTGGCGACCCTGAACCTTGTGTGCATGCTCGCGTGGGCCTTACGCAGAGAAACAGCGGTGAAACGGCTTTGTCTTTTTTGTGGGTACCTCCTTTTCGTTTCAGTTCCAAGAGGAAACCACCATTTTGGGGGTTCCATTGAAAAGACGCCCACACAGTTGCAACCTGGGGGAAGGAAAAGGGGGCATTGCTGTGTGCATTGAAGCAGCCTAGCGGGTGCTTGGCGGACGTTGTCATGGTCCAAAGACACGCTAACCTGTCTGTTTCTAGGAATCGTCATGAATTTAATTGTGGGTAAGACAAGTGGCTTCTAGCTTTTGCTCGCACAGTGCAGCCATGGTTGCCAACAAAAGGCTTGCAAGTGTGGGGGGGGGGGCGCTTTGCTGCCATGTTTTGCCTAGTATAAAGCGGTGGCCAGAGTGCGGTGTTAACTGGTCTTACCGTCCCGTGTGCAGGTGTCAAACTCAAATTGATCCGGGTGCGGTTTCAATTGGCCTTGCGGTGTGCAGGTGTCAAACCTGAAAACTGCTGGAACCATAGGTGTCCTTTTTGGTTGGTTTGCTTAAGAAATAGAAGGCCCTGCTTTACCTGGCGGTTCAATCATCTACCAGGGCCATCTATTTTCCTAAAGGACACCTATGGTTAAGATCGTTTTGTTGGGCAAGCTGTAGCTTTGTGGTGAGTTTTTGGGGTGAGTTTTTGTGGTGAGTTTTTGTGGTGAGTTTTTGGTTGGGGACACCTATGGCTGGCCACATTGCGGAGTTCCCGTGCTGCGCCGTGGCCAGGTTCAGCCCCCAGTGGCCTTGGGCCTCTCTGCAGCCAGCGTGGTGGGCAACTGCATCGGCGCCGGCGCTCCCAGAAAGCGACTTAGCCATCGCACGCGGGGAAGTGGCCGCCTCTCCTAGGTCCCCCAGTAGTGCCCTTTTCTCCTTTTTTTTGGGCGTGTTTGGGTTCCCCCACTAAAATAGTCAGCAAAAAGGGTACCCTTAAACTAACCTTTCTACTGGAGGACCTAGTCTCCGTTTATGGCCTCCTGGTGGAGTTTCTGTGATTCATTTGTGTGGCCTGTTGAGTTCATCTTGAGGTGACCCATGTAGCCGATTTGTTAAAAGACGCCGTGGCACGTAGGTATCACAGGGGCTGCTTTGGTGGCTTTCATATCCTACAGGGCAGCCTGAAAGCTCTTAAGGCCTTAAGGCCGAATAACCCGTAACCCTTCCCCAGTTCGCCCGCCTTGTCCAGAATCTGAGGGCCAGACAAACCGCTTGGATGGCGGTTGCCTTAGATGCGGCTCTTTGGGCCGGCCTCGCGGCGATCTTTTTCCTTGCCCGCGAAGATGTGGCCGCGCTCCTGACCTCTAAGCCCAAGGTGAGATCCGTGGTGGTGCCTCGGACAATTCGGTGGGTGCAGGGGGGGGGCACCATATGGGGCGGTGTCTTGTTCTGAGGGGCCCACATTGTTTTTCAAAACGCACATATGGTGGGTTTCTAGAAATGGGGGACCCCTGCTTGCAGCGTTCTTATTGGGAAACCAACAGGAAACGGCCTGAGAAGCACCCGTATGGCATGAAGTTCTGGCTTGTCAGCACAGGTTGAGCAAACACCAGAACTTTGCTGTACTTTGGCTGCCCAGTTCGCAGTTGTGGAAGGGCTGGCCTGTGAGGCCTGTCATTCTGACAGTGGTGTGGCTGTGGGTCAAAGCCAATGGGATCTTTGGATGTCGACCCATCCAGGCACTGCTACTCACCATCTACCTCGGTGCTGGGTCGCTCGGCCTCGGCCGTTCCTGCCAGGAAGCAGCTTCGCAACGGCTTCCAATTTTCCCGGTTGCCTTTGGGGCATTTGGCTGCGGCTCAAAGAAGTGGTACAAAACTGGCACCTGGGTAAAGAGGTAAATGGAACCGAAGACTAAAACCTGCGTGGCCCTAGCTCTTTCATGTTGAGCCACAGCCATTTTGTGCTTGAGTTGACTTCGCAGGATGCAGTGTCTAACGTTTCGGAGCTGCAGGTTCTTTGACACGCCCGCCTACATTATGGCGGCCGTGTTGCGGGGCCTTGGCATGCAGAAGGTGCCTGCTGCGACCTACACGGTATGTTTCCCGGCCTTCGGTTTACAGTGGGATCTATTGAGTTCCCCGATGATGACCTCGGCTTCGGGGGGTCTTCTTGAAGGAGGCTTCCTTCAACTGAGGTGTTTGTTTAAAGACAGGGATGCCACGATCAAAACCCGCATAGCTCAGATAGATACAAAGGGCATGATCATCCTTTGACAAGGGCGCCATTGTCATTTGTCGGGTCGATGAAACTTGACAATTATAGAAGCAAGCCCTCTAAGCCTTTGGCCGTGGCCTTGCCAGTCCCGTCTCTACTTGCGAGCCAGACCTGGGCACAAGCCCTGCAAGGCGAACGTAAGCAACGCGAATACCGATGGTGCCAATTGCCATGATATCTCTCATGAATGTGAATTGATTCAACTGCTTTCCCTCCAACCCATCACCTAGGGGGCAACTCTGGTGAAACAATGGGGCCACTTTGACGCGAATCTGTCGTCGCACCCAGGCTACTACTTCCTCATGCTGCCTTTGGGCGCCTACTTTGCATGGCACCTTGGCTGCACACCGTTGCAACATGTTGAGACCTGGGGTGTGTTGTGTTTGAAGAACCTTCTTGGGCTTGGTTGAAGGGCACTTGGTGGGTCCCCCGTTTTGACACACGCAACCACTTAGACTGTACATTGGAAGGCTCGAACTTCCCAAGTGGGGGTGGAAGACTAAACCCTTGTTGCGGCTGGCATGTTTGCTTTGGCTGGATTTGGCTGGTCAACAAGCTCTTAAAACATGTTGATGCTGATGAGGTGGCGGGGGAAGTGCGCATCATCATAGTACTGTATCATGGGGTATTTGGTGTGTATTCTTGACATTGAGGCATGCAGGGCTCGTCTCGTCATACACGAAATAGAAAACCTACTAGGACAGATGCAGGTTTCCAGTGTTGCGATGTCAGGCGCTGTGCCAGCTGTTGTCATGGTGCAGAATTCTTTATCGCGCACGGAGGATTGTGTGTGTTTGACCTTTCCACCAACAAGAATGGAGATGCACAGGCTTCCTTCAGAACACGGTAGTCTTCCGAAGGGTTTGCGCTTTCATGATTCTGGGTGGGGTAACTCAGGCGCTTGCAGATGGGTGTGAGCGGCGTGTGGTATGCCACGCTGGTGGGGACTGCGCTGTCCTTCGTGATCATGATGTACGCTCTATGGCGGGCCGTTTGCGCTGGCCAACTGCGGTTGCTCACCAATTGTTGTTCGTCATGCGCGGTCTTCCTTTTCATGATGTTAAGCGTTGTACTGTGCGCATGTGTGGGGCTTGCATTCTGAGATTTGGCGCACAGTTGCAAGAGCCTGAACTCCATGAAGGCTGCTGGCGCACAATCATTCAGCAGTGAGGAAACATGTTTGATGTGACGAGTCCTTTTTCCCCACTTGACTGGTTTGGGGTTGTTAGATTTTAAGCGACGTCGGACCACAACACGCCGCCCCTTGACACAGCTTGTGGCAGACAGATGTGGCAGACAGCTGTGACAAAGCTTGCGACGGACAACCGCGACAGTCTGAGGCCTGAGGCCCCACCCAGTAATTGCGTCTCTAGAGAGAAAGATAAGAAAAACAGAGAGAGAGAGAGAGAGAAAGAGAGAGAGAGAGAGAGAGAGAGAGCGTCTCAGGCAGGAAAATGCGCGTAGCCGCTGAGGCGATGCTGAGCAAATTGACCGCTTAGTTTTTCTAGGTTTATGTGCAACCTTTGAGCCACACAGCATATGTATGACGTGTCCTGGCAAGAGCTTGCCGGGTCCCTTGAAGAATCGGAGCGCCCCAGACAAAGGACCTCCACCGACTTCGGCAACAGCTAAGGCTGCTATTGATTAGGGTTAACGCTGCCTTTGGTTTGAGTGAGTTTCTTGTGCGTCTCATCAGCCAGCAGCATGCTTGAGGCCCTGCGCGCGCTCGGATTGACGTTTTGGTGCATGCAGCCCGGAGTTGCGCATGCTTGGATTAGCTTGGATTGGGGATTGGGCAGAAATTCGTGAAGCAAGTTAGACACGCGAGGGCGCAAGCAACACCTTTTCGCTTGGCTTCTGCAAGAAGAGACGCAGCTGGGTGTGTCTCTTATCAGGGAAGACAAAACACAAAGAACGATTCTTTGGTGCATTTTGCTTGGTGACTTTTTGCCAACCAATAGGTTTTCCACTAAACCACTAAAACTTAAACTTTCAGCAGGGGAGCAGGAAGCAACCGAGGATTGTAGGTTTTCCTGTTGGTTCCCAAAGATGAGGACGCCCTCGAAACAAGACAGCCCCGACTTTTCTTGTTGGCCTGCCTTTTTCGCCACAGTGAGGTTGCGATGGCACACAGAGATCTGAATGCTAGTCAATTCAAAGGGCTTGTCAATGGTTTGTATGCCGCATGCGCAACCTGGATAAGTCCTGCATCGAAAAGCCAACACCACCTCTTCGAAATGATGGGCTACACAACCCCATGAGCATTTGTCGCAGGCTTCATTCTGGGTTTTTGGTCAGAAATTAGTGATACAAATTCCAGAGAGAGAGAGAGAGAGAAGAAAGCATGATAATTAATATGTTACCTCCCGTCCTCAGGATCTACCTCCGCCAGCCAAGTCCCAGCTGATGAGGAAGTAATGGCTTGGAAGCGGTCTAATGTTGGATAATAAAATGGCTGTGGGTCAAAACCAATGGTACCATTTTGGGGTAGGTGAATTCACCGCCCATTGTAGAACCTATTTTAGTGGGGATTGGGATGTTTGGGGGCTAACCGATTTGGGTTTTGACCCATGGCCAAATAAACCGTCTATGTCCTACGTCCCAATTTTTCCCCCCATGCCAGGCACGTGGATTGGCAGCGCCGCGCGGGTGAGGCCCAAAGGCGCCTGGAAGCCGACTCAAAGATCGGGAGCCGAGCTCCGGGCCTTTGAGCGCTTTGAGGCGGGGCGTGAGGTTTCTTGTCGGGGATTGGGATGTTCACTGGATTTGGGTATGATTTGGGTTTTGACCCATGGCCATTTCCTATTCATTTACCATTTCCTATTTCAACTGCTACTGGGGTATTCATCCCCCATGTCGTTAGCTTCACTGCTATTGGGTAACGGATCTTTAGACTTTAACTTTTTGGTTGAAATCAAGGGGGGTTTTGGTTTTCCGCTCTAAACCCCCTAAAAAGTGAAGAACTTTTTGCAGGGGGGTTGACAGCAACCAAGGTTGGTGTATCCATCCAGCAACTGGAGGAGAAAAGTTGTGGATCGAAGCAGCCCTGGCTCGCCTATCAAGGCGAAGGGAAAGGAACTCTGCAAAAGACGGTGCTGGGAGAGAGGCTTTTCAGACAATTTGCCAGCAGACCATCAGCCGAAGGCTGAGCGGCCGCTTGGAGTGGATTGTTTTGCTTGGTAGGGCTGTTGCTGGCAGTTGCTCAAACAGTTCCCCTGCTCCATGAGCAAGCGTCCAAGCAACAGTCAAAAAGTTGGGAGGTATGTGTCCTGGCTTAATCGACGTTGCCCATTGCAATAGCAAGTTGTACGTCGCCAATGGCAGGCACACACCTGCTACAGAAACAGGGCGACCAATCCCACCTTGGATGCAGGGCAGAGTTCGGTAAAACGCAAGAGACTTGTTGTAGTGGGCTCGGGTGCCTATTCGACGGGAAGGGATCCGCTTATTGATGGCCATTGCAATTAAAACTCCCAATGGCAAACCTTGACGCGCAATCTTCGCAATCTTGTGGCTTCACAACTAGATTCTGCGACAGCTTGACTCTTCTAGCGGTGCTACAACCTGACCCAAGCTCAGCTCAGTCTTTTTCCGTGCGCCACGCGCCCCGAAGTTCCCCAATTCTCCGCTTCCGTCGCGATGGCTGATATGGCCGTGGCTGGTATGGCCGTGGCTGGCAGGGAGGCGCTGGCAGGGGAGACCAGGCCAACGCAGCTCGGATCGCTTAACTTGGAAGCAGCAATTTTGCTTGGCGGCTCCCAGCCACCCGGTCCCGTGGCTTTTTAGCTTTTTAGGGTTTAGTGTTTGTTTGAATTGAAAATCGCCAAAAACTAAACTTTTGGCAGGGGGTCTGAGGGCAGCCCCGTTTTGTTTCACTGCTTTCCGCAAATACGACTTCCCCACTTTCTGGAAACAAAAACCACGGCTTTGCCACAGCTTTCTGTGGAAAGGCCGATCCCCCCCAACCAGCAAAACTGTATCACTGTTTGCTGTTTTGTTTTGTGACCAACCCAGGAGGACGCAGACAGCGCTGGAGCTGATGAAGTTTGCGCTGCCTACGATGCTGGGGAATTTTCTGACCTTGTGGCCTGACCGTTTTGGACGGTCAACCTGTGGGCGCTGAATCGCATGCGAAAATTTTTGCCTACGGTGCCTACAGACTGGGCCGTTCAGAGGCAACCCTTAATCCTTCTCTTGGGTTGCGCAAGGGGTCCCCTTTTTACTGTTAAGGATTGGCCAAGCCTCCATTTTGAACAGCCCAGACAGAAAGCAACTAGGAGCTGGATCCAGGCCCACTGACAGAAAAAGTTCCAAGGTGAATTTTGCCAGATGGTAATGGTCCCCTTGTGGCCCAGGGGTTCATTTTCGCGTTTTGTGGCTCGTGCTTCCAGGTGGTTCGCCACTATAGTAGGCAACCCTTCGGCATCCTTACTTCTTGGTTCTTTATCATGGATGGTTCCCCCTCTCCTTACCTCTTAAAAACACAACTTTTCAACTTTTTGGGTAACATGGGCTATATGTCTGCAAAAGATTAACTTCCCCAGGGCTTGGAGTTTTAAGGGGTAAGTCTCCCTACAGTGGAGAAATTCCTGGAAGCGCTGGGTTATGGTACCTGGCTGCCCGAGGATTAACGAGTTCACCAACACCATCGCCCTTGGCCACGCCGGGGAGGATTCGGAACTCGCGGCCGTGGGCCTTGGCAACATGATGCAGACCTTTTGCTGCACTTTGCAGGGCAGAAATGGGGACCCTCCATATGGCTGTGGGTCAGAACCAACGGTAACCAACGGGATCCCATTTTGGGGTAGGTGAATTCACCACCCATTTACGATTTTGGTGGGGATTGGGATGTTCACTGGGGGTACGGGCTTTTGACCCATGGCCATATGGGTGTGGCTCAAAAAGTAAGAGCTCGGGTTACGCAGGTGGTAGTCTTTGATTCCATTTGCCGTGGGTGCCTTATGGTGCTTCCCTTACACGGCAGGAGTCCCCAATTTGGATCCACCGCCCAGAGTCACTTCGGTGTGCCATGTTATTTAATCTGGCGGGGCATTCACGTTTGCTCCTACCAAGACCGCCGGGGCATCGTAGCAGCCTGCCTTTGTCTTGAGGGTGATTCCAGATGTTTCGACTTTTTCAGGTGCATTGCCCTTTTCTGACGCATGGCATGCACGGGGATCTTTGGTGCATCTTGCTTGGATGTTAGGACTTGAACTTTTTGCCAACTCGGGTTTTTTTCCATTAAACCACTAAAAGTTAAACTTTTAGCAGGGGAGCAGAAAGCAACCGAGGGATGTTGGTGTGTCAGCAAAGTCTGTGAATGATTTGTGAGACCCTTCTGAGACATCACCGAATTCAATTCGCTAAAGGTCCATTGCACTTGCAGGCTGAGCGCCATACTGTGAGCATAGACTTCCGTTTGGTCAAGACTTTTGTTGTTTTCCCCTGTTGGTGTTTGAAGGGATTTGATTTCACTACTGGAAGTATGTTCTCATATTTTCCCAGGGGATGAACAAACTTTCAAACAAATGGAAATACAACATGCTGAAGTGGCGCTGGTGTTTCCTTTCGCACATGCGCTTGCGACGTTGACGCATCCGAGGAACTGCTTTGGCCTAAGCGTAGCCATCGGCCTGACCAACGCTTTGGACACCTTGGTGAGCCAAGCGCACGGCGCGGGTGAGAACGAGCTTTGCGACTTGGCAGAAACACAGGGCAAACATCCAAAGTGGAGCTGCTGCATTTTTGTCGGATATTTGGAGGATAAAACCCAGCTGAGGTGGTGGTTAACGCTAGGAAGCCAGAGTGGCAACGATGGGAGCGTGCGGAATGGGCAGTGAGCGTATATAACGGGAGCGGTTCCGTTGAATGTCATTTCTGGTTTCCTTCCTCCTTGTGAAACACGAATTAAATAGAACTGGCAGGACAATTCAGGGATACATAGTAAATAAAGACACGTTCATTGAAGAGTCGAGCCATTTGGCAGTTGAGCCATTGCAGCCGGGACCATGGCTGTAATCACAGCTCTGTGTTTTTGTTGTGTTGGACTCACGGTGTTTTGGTTGAAAGAGGCCGGACCCATGTTCGTTTGATTGGAAATGTTCGATTCCCCAAGCATGGAACCACCGCTAAAGATTGCATGCTTTGCTGCAAAGCAGGGCTGAAATCGTGCTTCTCAACCAGTCAATCTCAGAGGCAGGGATCCTCGACTTTCCTTTCTGGGACCCTCAAATGTAGCATTTTCCATGGGGAACTCCAGCGACCCGTATCCAACGAGACGATAGGCGATTTGATCCAGCGGTTCACGCAGAGGAGTGATATTGTTATTTGGATGGGTTCTCTTTCAATTCAACCAACAATCAGCTTGTTTGTTTTCCCATGGCCACTGCAGGTCTGATTTTTGTGTGGTTTTTTCCTGCCAGATGGTGGTTTCTTGTGGTGGTGTGAATTGGGTTTGGTAATTTGGCGTCCCCCTCATGTTGAGCCGCCCGTTTCGGTGCCAAAAAGTGATCCGTGCGTGGCAACTGAGGTGTGCACTATTTGCAACGCGGGAGGCGCCTCGGAGCGCACTGCCGGGCGCGCGTGTCAGAAAGCCACAAGGGCTGAAGAGACGGCAGTTTTCCCCGCAGCCTCAATTTACCACGACTAGGGGTTCATTCCCCATTCCTAGCTGGTTTAGGGTGGTTTTATTGGTTCCTTTTTTCCTAGGGGATACCTTTTCCATTCTTTTCACGCATCGTTCTTTTCAAAAACCAGCTGTTTCCCCTGGGGTTCTGATGGTTTTCTGGAAAGAAGGATCCCTAGAAACAATGGGGAAGTGTCCTCTGGAACGACGCATCTCTCGCCTTACCCCAAAGAACTTTTGCATGACCGTTGCCCTTTCGCACGCAATGTCGCATTTGCCAAAGGCCCGAGGCTGCATGCATCCCCACAGAATTCATGCAAACATTCGATTCTCTCTGCATCATACTACCTGCTGCGACCCTGGGACGCTACTCGTATCGCAGCATTCAAAGTGTCCCCCAGGTGTTCGGAATGCGCCGTGGGTCATACCAAGAACCTCTATCCTATAATTTATTATTTCCAGACAAGTAGCGCAGTGTACGCCTTCCGCTTGCATGCTGAGGGCTCCGCCACATACCACTTTGCTAGACATACATATATTGTATCATGAAATGATATACACATATACATACACATATATATATATATATGTCTCTCTCTCTCTCTCGTTCTCTTCAGGGTCATTTGTGCTTACATCAGCTGCTCCATGGTTTGTTGCATACTCCCAAGACCTGCCCCCGGGACTTCCCGGGAAGCCCCGAAATGGATGGCTCGAGCGGGCGCATCTCGCTCGCGGCTCGGCGGCTCGGCGGCTCGCGCGCCAGGGCCATCATCACGGCGCAGCTGCTTTGGATGATCCCCTTGCTGTGCTCCACAGAGGCCGGACTTGAAATGGGTATGGGTCAAAAGTAAACCACCAGGTAAAACCGCAGGTTCTGGTCCATGTTTCCACTTACTAGGGTACCTATTTTTGACCCGCAGCCAAACGTCCAAAACTCCCCGGGCGGCCACGAGCTGCGCGTGGGATTTCTGTTTTGAGGCACAGGTACCCTTTTGGGGTGGCTTGAAAAAGGGAGAACACAAGGACTCACCTTGGGGGGTCCCCTATTCACACTTGCCCCTTTAGCCACTCGACCTGAAATGACCTGGTTGCGGTTTTCCGGTGTCGGTACATGTTTAGTCAAGTTCCCCAAAGGTGAACCTTTTATCTCTGGGTTCTATCTTGCTTCTTTGGCAAGCCGAGAGTCCATTTCGCCTGCGTAAATCTAGCAAACGTGGTTGATAGAAGCAAACATCAATACGCGTGGGCGCTCGGCATTCGGAAATGCTAATTTTATGTGAGGAAACCTTTGAAGGCGCCCTTGTTCACATTATGTTCCACAAGATGTTCAATATCGTACATTCACCCCTACAAGCCCAGTGCTTCCAGCTACCTCTGGTTAACCTATAGAAACCTCTCACTCCCTGAGTTCATGAACTTTAAAGTTGTTGGAAAACAGTTTTTGGTGGTAAAAGGAAAAGCCAACTTTTCTTGTCCAATCCACTCAGGAAGTGATGGGTTATATAAGCAATGCATGTTTTTGTTTTTAGGCGAAGCGCCTGGAAGCACTGGGAGCGGGTTATAAATAATTCATCTTTCAAACATGTTTAAAGGCTTGTCTTGGTTTGGATTGCTTGGAGATTCGAAGCCCTGCTAGGTCGCCCAGCAGGGCCCCATTTGCCCTTTTTTGGGGTTTTGGGTTCCCCTAAAATAGACTACAGCAAAAAGATCGGGTACCAACTCATTCTATCCTCTTTGCTGGAGGGCCTAGCCTGGTTCTTGAGGGTAAATGGAAGGCCGGCCAATCCAAACCACCAACTAGCTTGACAGCTATTGGGTTGGATCTTTAGAATTTAGCTTTTTGGTTGAAATCAAGTGAAGTTTTCCACTAACCCCCCCCCAAAAAAAAATAAAATGTGACAAACACTTTTTGCAGGGGGGTCGTTGCAGCAACCGGGCCACCAAGGGCTCGTGGGTCGGAACTCGAAGTTTCGCCTGAGGTGCTGCTGCTGGCTGTGGGCCAGCACCCGGACGTGGCCAAGCACGCGGCCAGCTACAACCGGATCGCCTCCTTTGGCCCCTCGGATGATCCAAAACGCCCACGGCGAGCTCGGGGCGAAATCCGGCCCCGCACGAAATGAAACGGTTGAAGCCATAAGGGCGGTTGGCATTTGCAGGGGGAATTTTTCATGGAGTCCAGGGTGGTTTTCCACTAAACCGCTAAAAGTTAAAAACTTTTAGCAGGGGAGCAGAAAGCAACCAAGAGAACGTTGGTTGGTATTTGCAGGGGGATTTAATTGAGTCCAGGGTTTCTTAGGTGCGAAATGGAGTTTGCCCATCCACAGTATGAACTATGGCTCTAGGGGTACCTTACCCATTTCCATTTTTTCCGGGAATCCGAATCTTTCCAGAAATCCTCCGGAGTCCCAGGGAAAAAGGCTTGTTCTTGAAAAGAACGATGGTTGAAAAGAATGGAAAAGGAATCAACCCCTAGAATTCCAATGAAATTTAATAAGGAACCTCAGAAGTGGTTGGTGGACATGAATCCCCACAGAAATTTGATGTCCACCATTTCGGGTCCCCAATTAAACTTCAGGCCACAATATGGAGCCGTTGTTGGACCCCTTAAGGGAAGGGAAGGGCGCATAAACCATGGCCCCGCTTTCATGGCCCCTTTAAAGCGCACAAACCACGGCCCAAGACGGGTACCGTTCTTTTTTGAGACCGCCCCCGCCCAAGTTGGGGTGAGCCTTCGCAGGGCATTTCGAAATCCGGCTCCAGCTCGCCCAAGAGCGAGCGCCCCTTACTAAGTGTCGCCCATTTCGGGGTTCCACTTAGTCCTGCTAGTTGGTGGTTTGGAGCCGGCTCAGTGATTTGATGGTGGTCTGGGGGTTCTTTGAGACACGCGAGACCTGCTCAAGGATGCTAGAGGGAGAGAGAAAGCAGGAAAGAAAGAAGGAAAGAAAGGGAAGGTAGGAAGGTAGGAAGAAAAGAAACAAAGGGTTACTCGTGTTTTCCGACTGGGGTCAAAGTTTGTGCATCCCGGACCTTCACTGGGTTGCCGATTTCCTTTGGGGGGGGGTTCTTCTTAAAATCAAAAACGGGGGGAGGGGGGGAGGGGGGAGGGGCCCTGTTTGGACTGGAGGTCTGCTTGAATGGGGTGCCTTTGATTCTCTTTGACCCAACCCCCAAAAAGTTTCCCTTTCTCAATTTGGGTGGTTTTGTTTAATGGGAACCTCCAAAATGATGGTTTTCCTTTTGGTTTCCCTTTAGCCCAACAAAAAAGGGGGTTCCCCCCAAAAAGACACACCCATTTGATTCTCAGCATTTCTCAACTCTCAGGCGGGTTGGGCAAGTGGGTGCCTGCTAAGAGACTGATTCCTTTTGGTCGCCCTCAGCGCTTGACAGGATCGCCAAAGATGGAAAACCATTTTGCTGGTAGACCATTTTGCATTGCATTGCGCACTGTCGTGTGGATGAGTGGAATGATTAGATACAATCCCCAGATGCACCCTATTTACACGCTTTTTCCAGACCCCCAATCTCTCTAACCGCGAAGTTCGAGTTATCCAATGCTGCTAAAGCAACTCTAAACCAGCAACATGTCTGGCGCCCCAACTCCAGTCGCATGCGGGGTTGCTTTAGAACCAATATGAGACTGATTCGAAACCAAACAAATCTGAAACATGACATTGATTTCTGTATTCGAAATCAATTGCTTAGGCTTAGACATTGCCATTTGGAAGGATTGGGCCCCATCCCCCCCGGCACCTAATGTACGTTCAACCCCGGCAAATCGGTTTGCTTGGGTGGCTGCAGTTGGGAGAAGGTGGTTTCCCAGGCCCCAGTGCTCCATTTTTCCTAACTTGCCGAGCAGCGAAGGCCTTTTCTTTGTGATGCAGTGGCAGGCGCGCAGACTTGATTGCCCCTTAGGCCGCCAGGCTCAGGAAATTCCGCAAAAGTGGGTCGATGTGAGCAATGTGGGTTCAGTGGATGTTGCTTTGGTAAGACATTCTTACCCATGAACCTTCCGTGCTTCACTTCTTGGACCTGGTCCTTAAACGGAGTTGTCCACAACCAAACTGCCAGACTGCTGCACGTTTTTCTTCGTCTCCAGTTCGCGGTGGTTGGCTTGCTTAGAAATAGATGGCGCTGGCCAACTATTTCATCCGAACCAAGAACCTGCTAACTGGAGCAACTTGTGACAGGACGTCTTTTGGTCACTTGCACAAAGGGGCAAGCAGAAAGGTCAAAACACCGCCACGTGCTTTGAGCGATGAATTAGGGCTCACTCAGACCTTGCCGGAGCTAATTTCTCACCTTTGAGTTCATGGACCTTAAACTTGCTGGGAAGACACGTTTAGTGGTAAAAGAAAGCTTGGTTACTTTGTTTGGCCAGTCCACTCAGGAAGTGAGATTTGTTGTGCAACAAAGGTGAGGCAAGCATTTGCCAAATAGTCAGCTCGCAGTCGCTTGCGGGAGCGAGGTGCAGAATGATTGCACACGGCTGCTCTGCAAGAGATAAGCTTGCCGTTTGCTCCCACACATTGACCATGGCTCAAATCCCGTGGTACTTTCCGAAACATCCACATAGGGCTAAGTACAGTGACAGACATTTGCTTGCATTTGCATCCCATGTAGGCGACCTGGTCCTTCTTGCGGAACAAGGGATTGCCCAATGTGGGCGCTTGGGTGGCAGGCGTCACCAGCATCTCAGCTTCCAACGGCCTTTGGAGTTGGCTCATCCTTAAAGTTCCTCTGTGGTTCAACGGGCACCCCGGGTGCCACACGTCTTTTTGGCCAAGATGCACAGCCAAGAACCGCAGCTTCGAGATACCAGCTGGGCCTGCCGAATCACACATACAAATCGAAGGTTCTGGCACTAAAGTGCCAACCAAACGTCGATTCGAATGAGCAGGAAAACGCGGCACCAAGCCCCAAACAATTATCAAGAAAGAGAAGGGGTTCTTTGCCAGAAGGGTTGCAGCAAAGTCAAACCGAGTCATGTCTTTCAACGAATGCGTTCAGTGTCAAGAATTCACCCTTTGTGGTCAGACCAGGGTAGTGGGAACCGCCAACTTCTGCGCCACTTGGAAGGTGTTCCTTCCCAATGACTCGACTCATTCTTCTTTTCATGGAGAAATTGTCCCTCGTACAACGGTTGCTCAAAACTCCAACCTCCATTCTCGCAGCCCGGACCGTTCCCAGGCATCTTCCACATACTTTGGGCTTATATCTTCATCCATGTCTTCAAGATGGGCAACGCGGGCGCTGGCGCCGCAAATTGTACCACCTGGGCTCTGCAGTTCCTGGCAGGCGCAACCTGCAGTCCAAAACCTTTCGAGGTTGGCTCTTGCAGAGGGAAGCCGAGCACGCGGTCTGGGGCTTTCTCGGGGATGTCTCATTTCAGGTGTTTTTTTGTCCTGTAAAAACCGCCACATGTGAGGCAGGCAGATGCTAGCTGGATTTTTCGATGCTGAAGTCAATAGTTCGCAATCCACCACGTGTTTGGGCAAGTTATAGCAACCTCGGAAAAACGCTTTGTTTGACCTTACTGATAAAGCTTCCTGGATTCCTGGTAGCTGCGACAACTCGCAGTGCCCAGACACTTATCTTGTTTATTCTCCCCTGTTGGTTTTAGAGGGCACCTATCACTACTGGTAATATGTTTACTGTTTACTTTCTCCAGGGGACGAAGAAGCGAATGGAGGCTATCCTTGCGCCCAGGTGAGCTCTTGATCCAGAGGCTTAGGTTAGAATCATGGCATTGTCTGCCATGTTTTGGCATCAACGGCTAGGGAAACCGAGGTGAAAGTCTCACATCCCGAGTTCTGGAACTCGGGCTTCGGCCACACAGTTACCCTGAGACAAATAACAGATCCGGATCTGGTTGCTGACATCGTTCATGTTTTTTGGCTGGAGGCTCGGTGATTTTGACGTGCAAAGCGCCGGGTCTGGGAAGCAGCGCTCTCCACTTGCTGGGCGTGGGCAAGGAGTGCTTTTGGAAATGCGCAGAGCTCGTTGAATTTGACATCATGGACTGGTGATTAGGGCGGGGGAAACCAAACAACCCCTTAATATCCCCTTATTAAGGCCTTATTTACGGCTTACATGTGCTCCCTCCCCCTCCCCTCCCCCCCAGCACCCATGATGACAGTGTCTTCCATTTGCCGAAAGGAATACTTTTTGTATTTTTGACTGTTGGGCTCAAAGGGAATCGATTTCACAACTGGAAATACGTTTTGGAGGGGACGAACAAGCAAATGGAAGGTGTGCTTAGTGTTCTCACTGCCTGAGTTCATAGACTTCAAGCTTTTTGGGAAGAAGTTTGACCAATCCACACAGGAAGTGAGTTTTAGACCTCTCCATCGGAGATTTTGCTTGGACACCGCCTCGGCTTTCCGTTTGCATTCTGTGGCCACTTGTCCTGGTACCTGAAGATTGGTCAACATCAACAGGTACGGCTTGACGGCGTCCCTTGTCCTTCAACAGTTGTGCGTGTCGTTGTAGCCCCGATTGGCTGTCGCGGGCACAAGTGCGCCAGAACCCCTGGCCATCCAAACAAACCTTTGCGCACAAGTGGCGCAAGCGTCCGGTACCTGTCACATGCTCGTGCTTTGATGAGCGGGCTGTAGACTCGTTTGGTTTTTCACCACGTGCAGATTCCTTGCTTTTTCCCGCACGCCGTGCTTTTCGTTTTGCTTTGCAGCCTTGCAGGAACAACAGATCCAGAAAGAGTTATTTTTGCTGGTTCTCGGCAGGGAATGAGGGAATGACCCCTATGAGGAATCCCCTATGGTTTCCGTTAAGGGAATCCCTAAATTCATTCCCCAAACACTGGGTCATTCCCTACTGAGCACCAGCAAGTATTTTCTTGGACTTTGTTGTTCATATTCAGCTGAACGACTGTTTCACCGAAGTGCTTGAGGTGATGCCCTTTGTTGGGGTCGAGTTCAAAGGTTCAAGGCTGTCAATGCTCGCAGGTAGGCCATGAAGGCGGGATTACCGCTACCAACGCTTGCAGCATACAAAACATAGCCTCGACCGAAGAAAGCAGACCAAAGTTGAACTGTCAGGCCAAGGGATTCCAATCTCATCCCGTTAGAGCTAGCCCCCCAGGTGTTTCAGGCACGTGCCTTTTTTTTTGTGCAGGAGAGCTTCAAACAATGGAAGGCCTACTTGGCAATCGGTGTTCCCGCCATGCTGCAACTTTGCGCTGAGTGGTGGCTTGGATCATCCACAAAACATGCCGATGCATCATCATCATCATCATCATCATCATCATCATCATCATCATCATCATCATCATCATCATCATCATCATCATCATTCCCGTGCGTTTGTTCATTGTTTTGTTTATTTGTTTGTTTGTTTGTCTGTTTGATGTGTGTATGTATGTTTGTCTATGTTGTTAGTTTGCTTGTTTGTTTGAAATGCTCTCTCGCTCGCTCACTCGCTTGTGTGTGTGTTTCTCGTCTTTATGTGTGCGCGGTTTGTGTTTGTGGGTTGGTCGGTCGGTCGGTCGGTTTGTTTTGTTTGTGGGTTTGTTTGTGTGTTTGTTTGTTTGTTTGTTTGATTGTTTGTCTGTCTGCTTATTGCTTGCTTGCTTGCTTGTTATTTGCTGGTTTGTGGGTTGGTTGTTTGGTTGCGTGTTTGTTGTGTTGTTTGCTTTTGTTGTTGTTTGTTTTTGCTTGTCGTTTTGCTTGTTGCTAGTTGGTTGGTTTGGTTTGCTTGTTTTCTGTTTGGCTGACCTTTTGTTTGCTTGCTTTGCCTTGCCTTGCCTTGCGAATGCGTACTTGCTTATTCAAACGTGTGATTGTTTGCTTGCTTGCTGTTATACTTTGTTTCCATTTTGAGCTCGGCCTAGATAACCGTTCTTGGTGCAATAAACGCCAATCAAGACATCCGAACTTTGTGTGTTGCGCTTCCATGCCAATTGCTCTGAGAGGGGCCGCATTTGCCTCGGATGTGCGGGTTTCTGGTCTCAGGTGGTTCTGGGAGATTTGTGCCTTGGTGATCGGCTACTTGGGCCCAACACCACTGGCAGCCCATGTGGCCGCCTCGAACTTGGTGGTTTTGCTCTTCATGCCGAGCATCTCCTTGTCCTATGCGACGTCTTCAGTGGTGACCCGGTTGTTTCGCATTCGGAATGCGTTTCTGCCTCGACTTAAGGATATCCCATGACCTAGCATGGCTGAAGTGCATTTGCAGAAACATATGGCGCCTGAAGTGGGGCTTTAAGATTTTGTTTGAGCGTGCGAAGTCTTGAGTCTTTCATGGAGCGTGAGGTAGGCAACAGCATTGGCGCCATGCTTCCTATGAAGAGCCTTGGATATGTCCAGCGCGTCCGCCGGTTGGCCGGAAGAGTATGTGTTGCGTCGAAATTCCCCAGCAAAGGCTCGTAAATCCTTAGAGCCTTATTAGATAGGTTTCTGAGAACAATTCTGCGGGGTCTGTTGAATTGTCCCTCAAACAGCTACTAATGATGACTTGTGCCCTTTGCACGCATTCCAAGTCACTTACGACTTCATCTTCAGGTCGGCAAGCAACACAGCTAGGCTCTTGCATCAACTTGGTCTTCCATACCTTTTTCTCCCTCTGCATACCCGCAGTCAAGCTAAAGGGTGCAGAGCCCTTAAATCACCAGGAAGCTCCCAGAGTATTCAGGCCAAACACCGAATTTGGCGAGTGCCTTTTTTTTGAACGTGCCCTTCACGGGACTTGTTTAATTTTCAGGACCTATTAACCAGGCCTCCGCCTGCTGCCCCCGACCGGTCCTGGAACCCGTTCCTGGAATCAACTTTCCGTGCGTTTGGCTGTGTCCTTCAAAACCAAAATATGATCAGGATTCATTCCAGTTGCACGCCGGTCCCCTCCACAAGAGGCTAGGACGGGAGGCAGAGGGTCGGCGGATCTTGAGGCAAATCCCAGGAAACTTGCCGAAGTGCCCGTATCTGAGCCTGCGAGTTGTTTCCAGCCACAGAAGGCTGTGACAGTATTTCCGCAATGCCCCTGTTTCAATGGGCGAGTTTTGTTGGTTGAATGTATTTCGAGAGCCGTAGCGAGGAATCCGGGAAAGACGTAAGGCAGCTGGATGGAGAGGTTCAATGAATGGGCAAGAGTAACATATTTGAAATATTGATTTATTAAATTAGTTACCCTTATTCGTTGGTTTGGATTGGTGGTTCGGGGATCCGAACCCCTCGCCTCTGAGCTAGTGACCGACCGTTCTATAGACGTGCAGACTCAGCTTGCATGGGCTGCCAGAAAGGCAGCCAGGAGTGTATAGATGTTCCCTTAGACAAGATGTACACCCGCTGGGTGCAAGATTGTCCCAAGGGTAGGGATGTCAATCCGGTAGATTCAGGATGGATTCCACGTTTCATAACCTCTACACACTAACCCAGGCAACGGAGAGTTCATTGTGAGCGCGTGAAGGACCACTGCTCGGACGGTAGGGGTGTACATTGCACGGTTTGTTGGGTTGCAACAGCATAGCTTTTACTCCCAGAAGGCCACCAGCGTTTGGCTTCCGCTGGTAGCGCACAGACGCGCCCGCCCAAGGGCTCGCCAAGCAGCGTGGCTTGCGGCCGGCCTCGACGTCTTGTTGTGTCTTGCCAGAACTGGTTTCCTGGCTCGCGCAATTTGTTAAAACTTCGGGAAACGTGCGTAGTTGCACATCCCCTTCGGGAGCACACGTGTGTGTGCATGTCTACAGAATATCATATGCGCCTGTCGTCTTACTTATTGTGTGTGTGTGCGGCGGTGTCTACTTTGCTTGTTTTCTCGGGAGGTCCGGATCGTAGCTTTCAGCTTCCCTCCAATTGGTGGTTTGTTGGTTAAGGAGGGGTTTCTACAAGAACCGAGTTCAAATCCCTAAGCCGCCAACCCCAACCACAAGTGACTCTATCATGAAGTTTGCGTTGCCTTGGGGGTGAAGCGACGACCCTTTGTCCAAAAGTTAAACCCCTCAAACTGTTTTGAGCACAATCCCTGAACATGTTCATGAGTGTGCCTGCACGAAGTTGATGATTTCTCTGCCGTAAATTGCAAATCTCGTTTGAACTTTCGTTCCATGGCAGAGATGTTCTGGTTGGCCCGTCCCCCCCCAAATTGTGCCGCGCGGTGGATGGTCACATTGCTTACTAGTGCTCATTCAAAAAGATGTGACAAGGGACCAAGGAGCCTCAGCTTTTGACAGTGAAAAGCCCTGATGAGCCAGAAAACCTCAGAATGACTTGTTTTTTCTCGCATACATTCAGTGAAGTGTCGCAGGGCCCAAACTTTCCGGGATGGTCCCAACCCTTCTGGCCCGCTTTTTTGTGAGTTTCCCACTCGAATGGGGTGATGTTGCCAGGTGGTCATGGGGCATAACCTATGGCGATCCCATTTTGGGTGGATGAGCATTCACTTGCCACCAAAAAGTTTATGTTCACCGGGGGTTTCCTGGGTTTTGACCCACAGCCAGGTGGACCATTGTGGTGCTGATTCTCATCAGCGCCCGCAAGGTTGTTGCCGCAATACTCACCTCTGACGAAGTCGTGCAGGACATTGCGGCTTCTTGGTGGACCTTTTGACGGAAATCGTCGGGGGCGGGGGGGGGGTTGGACTTTGCGGCGTTCCTGTTGCTGCTCTCCGAAGGTTTTGACGCCCATTCTTAGTTGCTCCAAAAGGTGAGCCTGTTGTTGTTCCAGCTCCATTGAGCCTTGGCTGTTTTTTTCCTTGGGCCCCGGTGGGACCTGTTTCAGCCGAGATGCTTTGACACCCCACCTTCGAAGGCGCGAAGTTGCGGGTGGCAAACGCGTCTGGAGCAAGTGCGGCAAAGCAAGCCCGGTCGGCTGTGCTTGTTTCCACGAACTCTTTGAGATAGTCCAAAGCGGAAGCATGACAATGCACACACCTTTAAACCAACTGGGGAAAGCATGAAACGTTCTCTTTTGCAAAGGGAAAGACAAATAACATGCAATGTCCAGGGCCCAGCTTAACAACTGTTTGAGCGGTGTGTGAGCAGTGGCTTTGTGTAAAGCAAGGTGCCGCAGCTAAACGCTAGCTTCACGCTGCCAAGAAAGCACACAGGGCCACAATAGATCTATAAAGTGAGACGCTGCAAGACGCTAAAATAAGCAAGATCATAAGATTTCAGTCCACCGGTAGAAAATGTTATCGACTCTGGCCTTTTCGAAATCGGATGCCTCAGTCCACAGCGTACCCTTTTGCCGAGTCGATCGCATTCTCAAGAATCCCAAGTCAAACAACCTCTATGAGTTGGAAGTTGGACTAGGGCAAAGAAGCAAACAAGTTCATGGGAATCGATTTCACTACATAGAATCTATCTTCTCATGTTTCTAGGGAAGGAAGCACATGTTTTTAATATATATATATATAATTATATATATATATTTAATTCCTAGGTGCAACTGCTGGACATCTATTGCGTCGCCGGCTACTTCGACAACATTCAGACGGTCTTCGGCGGATCCCTACGTGGCCTTGGACTCAACCGAGCCCCGGCCGTGGCATATCTCTTTTGCCGCTCCGCCGCATCCGTAACGGGGATTGGGATGTTCACTGGATTTGGGTACGGGCTTTTGACCCATGGCCATGTCCTATTCATTTCCCATTTCCTATCTTAACTGCTATTGGGTTGGATCTTTAGACCTTAACTTTTTGGTTGAAATCAAGTTGGGTTTTCAACACTAAACCCCCAAAAAGTGAAACACTGTTTGCACGGGGGTCGTTGCAGCAACCAAGCATCCATTGCTGCATGATGTTTGGTTCGAGCTCACCGATTCGCGGGTAAAACAAGCGAACGCCATGGGAAATATCCTTTACTTGGGGATCCCAAAATTCAGTGGAAGGATGGTAGAATTTGCAGAATCAATCGAGGATTCCTTGCAGTGGCCCGCGCTTTCCGCGCCTCCAGTCCAGACGTGCGCGGGATCGTGGGTCCTGGTCTCGCACTAGACTTTTGATCAGTAAAGGGCCCCTGACACAACTCTTCAGAGATTACTCTCGTGTAAGTTCATCACATACTTACCCTGATGCAAGCAACAATTGATTTTAAACTTTTTTAAGGGGGGTGTGTTTGGAGGGGGGTGGCTTGGGGGACCCTTCAGGGAGGTGGGTGATCATTGCCTTCTGCGCGAGGCTTCTACTTGATCTCGCTGCCGTTGGGGTGCTGCTTCGTGTGGCCTCTTGGATCTTCATTTCTCTGTCCATCGCAGGTTGAGACCTGTTTGAGCCAAGAATCAGGCGAACTTCAAAGGAGCTTGAACATGTCCATTTCCTGAAAATAATAGGTTGTTTTCTTTTTGTCTTTTTTGGGTTTGAAGGGAATCGATCAGTACTGGACATATTGGCGCATTTTCTGGGCAACAAAGCAAATGGAGGGACAGGTGAGGTGTCCTTTGATTCGTTGGGTCGCGACCATGTCATTTTGTGAGTCAGGGAGCTTCCTCTCGGAGAAGGCGAAGTGGTAGGGAGCATCAGCTTCCCTCAGTTTGGAGCCCGGTTTGGTTAAGAAGGGGTTTCCCATTCTACAAAAGCCAGAGGTGTCCCTTCCCAACCATCCAAACCACCAACCCCAAACCTCTCGTAAGCTCAGTCAAAGAGGTCTCATTTCAAGCTCATGCGTTTTTTTTTTTTAACAAAAATCAGACGGTATGTAGGTGCAGGCGGTGGCGTTTGTTCTAGCACAGACCCGGGCGCGGCAATCCAAGGCGTTGAAAAAATCATCACCTCAAAAAGACTTCCAAGTGCCTACCTTCAGGTATGACAACCACGGCCTTCTGCTTTGCGTTCGAATTTCCTTTGCCCATGCTTCACTCTTCGCCCTTGAATCGAGGCCTTTGCAGATGGGAGTCTATGGCTTGTGGTGGTCCATGGTGGTGGGCACGGCTTTGACCACGCTGATCCTGGGTATCCTCCTCTACCGTGTCGACTGGACCAAGAAACTCGCCAACTCGGGACAATCAAACTATTGATGTATAATTGGTCTTCGTAGGTTGTGGCAGGGTGCACCAAAACCCAATTCTGTGGGTTTTCGTTCTACTTGCGCCGTGCGTGGAAGGCGCAGGCAGGCGAAATCTGGAACTGCCTTTCGGTAAGCTGTTTCATGACAGGTCCAACAAGTTCAACATCGTCCCACCCTGGCGTGATTATGGTATTGGCATTTCTCGACCTGTTGCTTTGCTATTGCTGGAAAGGGTCCTGGGAAGCCAGAAGCAGCTGTCAGACACCGTTTCAGAAATGAATCTGGCAGTGTTGGTTCTTAGAAGAACAAAGCTGATACCCGCACACAGGCGCAGACGCAGACAAAAAACATAGAGAGAGAGAGAGACCGACGCAGGAGGAATGCCGGTCTCATCAGACATTGTGCGGTATAAGTAATTTGAGATGGTTTTTGACAGTGAGCCAACCCTGCTTCATGCTTTCGTGCCAAAGCCACTCATTGAGTCTGAAGGCTAGTTACAGCAAGGTAGCCGCCACCAAGACAAAAGCCGCACACACACAAACACGGGCACGTCCCGCAATGCTTCCTCCTTCTTGCCGACGAAAAAATGTCGCGCCCAGGATGGCACTTCTTTCGGAGGAGCGCATCCGATCCAACCGCAAGGAGCAAGTCACATCCAGCACTGTGTCCCCGTCCGCGTGAATCACGCGGGAACGTTCGGCGCTCATTGGTAAGCCTCCGCACGGGAGCACCCTGGCCGACGGAAGATGAAGCAAGACACACTAAAGGTCAAATCACAGGCATTTGTTGTTCATGTGGAATGGGAACGCGAAAGCAATATCAACACCATATCAATCTATTCTGGACGTTATGGAAGATGTCCGATTCAGTCCACTGCCATGAGGATTGGGTTGTTCTGTTGGTTCTGTGCTGCTAGGGATTCGATGTCGACTTGGACGAGGAATGGCCACAGCATCACATAAACATGCACAGGAATCGCGTGAAACTTGTCTCATCAAGATGCCAATGTTGGTTCTGCCTTGACCCCAAAGGCAGCATGCTGATGCAAATGCTGCCGCAAATCCCAGGTATCCCAGGTATGATAAATTATGAGACCAAGGGCACATGTTAGCGGGTTTGTTGCTAGCGGGTAGGCGCGCAGAACACGAAGCCGATTGATCGTTGTGCATTTGTTCGTAGAAAGGAGAAGCTGTGCGAGTCTTGCCTACCCGCTTTGGTCCGGCCTTCAACTTGGGGGGGTCCCTTTTGGCGGAAAGCATCGGGTGTTCCTGCGCGGTACTGCTGAAAGCAAGGTTGGTGCCTTCCAAGGTAGCCTACAAACAGAGGCTTCTCTACTTCCCAACCAAACAACCAAACAACCAAACACACAAACCAAACAAACCGAACAAACAAACAAACAAACAAACAAACAAACACATGCTGTACGCTTTGGTGTCACACTGCGGCCCATTGTGTTTTCTTCGTGGCAAGACGAGCAAGGCTCCTGGATAGCCAGCGTTTTTTAACCGTAACGGGGAGACTGTTTGCAGCTGATAGACGGCCCTGGCGCACGGTGCACTCGTGGGCTTCCTTGGGCGTTTCAACCGCGAGCCACTTACAGGAATCGCTGCTTTAGTCTGTGAAAGACGAGTTTCCTGTAGATGGCTTGGATCATGCTCGGCAAGTTCAACTTTTCTGCGCGTTTGCAAGCGCCAAAGGTTTAGAGATGTATGCGCCAGGAACTGACACAAAGAGGGTTGGCCCGGTTGGCCCAGCTAACGATACAGACCGCACGACAAGAATGCAACACTAACATCACAACGCACATCACACACACGAAGCGCACAATGCACATGACACCCAATTTACAGAACGCACAACACACAATACACTGCAGATGGGCGGCAAACCACACCACCCACAACACACAACACAACACGTTACATAATGCAATGCTCAGCTCACACTGTACACATTACACGGTAGACGCAAAGCAAGCGCAACACATCCACATAATCTGACACACAACGCGACAGACATGACACATGTCGCAGCACAGCACACACACACACCATACACAGCACACATGGTTGCAATGTGTTGCAATATTTTGGGTGTGTCTTCTTTTTACGGTACCCCATGTTTGTTTTAAAGGGAAGCCAGGATAACCATTTTAGTGCGGCCCCCAAAAACAGATTCATCCACTCATTGTTCTTTGCGCGTGATCGCCAAGTCTTCTGCCTTGGGTGGGCTGGGCCAAGCCTGAGCCACTCGCATGTGCCGGTCATTTTCGTTTGGCATTCCCCAAACTCCGATCGCTTCCCTTTGGTTCGAGGCTTGGAGGTTGCAGCGTGTCTTCCAGCTCCTCTAAAACCGACTCCAAACCAAGTCATTGCTCGACAGGCTCTGAGAAACGAGCCACAGGATTGGTTTTTATGCCTTTTGGGTGGGGGAGCTTCGCCATGTCTCCTTGACGATGGGCGAAGCTCAGCGAAGGAGCGGGGCAAACGCCATGTGATTGCTTGAATGTACAGTGTACAGAACGTGGGCTGAAGCGGAAAGAAAAGTGCGTGGGAGCGCCAGCCAAGCACATGCCTTGACACCCCGGCTGGCACACTGGTTTGCAGATCTTGTTTTCCGCTGTTTGGCAGGTTTCCTCCGGTGAGTCCTTTGCTCGGCAGATCGGACAGATGTTGGTTGAACATTCCTTCCAGTGCTTGTCCCATCATGCACACACAAGCAAACAAAGAAACGAGCCAAGCAAGCCAAACAAACCAAACCAAGCAAACGAAGCCAAACAAACCATACGAAACACACCCAATTGAACCAAACCAAACCAAGCGAAGCCAAATCCAACCAACCAAAAAACCACACAATCGTGCACTCAGACAAAACATATATTATACATACGTACCCCAACCTCGTCCTTCACAAGACTAAGACATAGCCCATGTTTCTTGCCCTGTTATCCAAAACACTTTACCCATGAGTAGATGGGCCCCTTGCAGGCAAAAGGTGCCCTCATTTTTCTTGGTGAGTAGTATAGCTCAGGTCGACATCTTGGATTCAGGTGACATTGCATCATTGCGGCGGGGGGAGGGAGCCCTTGCAAAACCCTTACTTCGGGATTATTTGGGCTCCCTCCCCCTCCCCTCCCTCCCCACCAGCCCCCATGATTCCAGTGTGTTGTCCACTGCTATTTTGTCCAAATCCCATGTGCAGATGTCAGGAACAGGCTCATGCTTTTGACAGGCGCAAGCGGCGAGAATCCCATTGTCTGGCGCGAGGGCTCAGATGTCGAAGCTTCCTGTTACTTAGCTCCGCTGTTTGTGAGCAACGGTGAAACTAAGTGAATTGCCAGCGGATTATGTGTCGCATTATGCAGTTTGTTACGCCGCCCGGCGGATTATGTGTGTTGTCTCCCAGTCCGTGATCATGCCTTTCAACTGCACTTGCGCTGCCCACATTCACGTGCGCCAGGCCTAGGCTGCCTGGTGGCTTAAGCCGCGTACGTCATCGCAACATTGAATATTTACTAGTCTTGATATTATCTCAGTTTAAACGTGGGGTTGGAGAGGGCCACTTGTCAGGTAGCCCTTAGCTGGTGGTTTGGATTGGCGGTTTCGGGATGTGAACCCCTGGTTCTTGTAGAGGGTAACTGGGACACCATCCCTAACTTGACAAACCACAAGTCAAGGGAAGCTGAACTTGCACACCCTCAGACTAAAATGGAAGCTCCATGGCCTCTGCACAGGGGATCCAAGTCTTCAGGGGCCCTGGTGTTGAATCAAAACGAGGAAGCGAGGAAACGAGCAAACAAACCAGCGGAAGCGCCTTCCCGGGTGATGATCTCCTCATTGGGTGCCTTCCTGAGGGCGGTGTTCCGGCGCTTATGCCGGCGGATGCGCCCCAGCAGACCGTTGGACTGTCTTTTTTTTCTTGGGCAGGGGGTATCTAAACTTACCTCTTGAAAACACAACTGTTCTCAACTTTTTGGGTAACATGGGCTATATGTCTGTAAAAGATGAAACCTTCCCCAGGGCTTGGAGTTTTAAGGGGTATCTAAATTCAGCTATCCCTTAGTTGGTGGATTGGTGGCAGGCTGACAAATGGGGCTAAGGAAAACACACACATGTTCAAACTCGTACAGGCCTGGACCACCAGAAATTGCGCGGTACCTGCCGCTTTCTCGCAGCTCTAATGGACAGGACACAGAGACTGGATTCGTGAAGATGCCAGCGTGAGCAGCACAAGGATGATGCATGTAGCAACGGGTGTCAAAATACATACATACACGCACATTATATGTATATATATATATACATACGTATACAGAAATATATGTGTATACAGCTATGTGTGTGTGCACGTTCATAGGACTAGACATGGCACACACGTACATGTATGTGTATATATATATGTATATGTGTACATTGATCTATGTTTATCCTCGATACTCATTTCAGCAAGTCTGCTCCGCAACGATGCTACGCAATGGCATGGTTGTTGTTGGGAAACATTTTACATTTTTGCTTATTGTGGTTGAGTGGGAAATCCCCACTTAACTGCTAACAGTTAAATTCATGCTCCCCTTCCAACGTCAACCAAGTTTGGAGACCGCCCGAGCCTCGAGTTTCACGCGTGCGTCTGAGTCTGAGTCTGAGTCTGATCGCGCGTGGCGTCTCAAGCCATGCCGTTGCGCAAGCTGCTGCCCCGTGTCCCGGATCCGCGAGAGACCCACCAGGCGATCTGACGGTCGAAAAAAATGGAGTCCTGGGACCGAAAGGGCTCCTTAAAAGATACAGTTTGCCCGTTTGAAACATGGCTTTTTCCACCAAAATACAGGGAAACCGCCATTTACAAGGCAATGTTCAGGTGTATAATGATGGATCCCTACAAAAATGATGTTTTCCTTTAAGTTGTAATAGGGCCCCAGCAGTCGCACGTGGGAAATTATGCGTTGCCCTGATACTGTAGGCATTGCGGTTGGTCATGCTTGACCCAAGTGACTTTGCAGTTCGGCTCATTTCGACAGCCGCCAATGCTTGTACACTGGTGGATGCTTCTGCGTCAATGTAGCAAATGTCTCACTCAACCGCACCGATGAGCAGAGGGGGCAGGGCGTCTTTGCGTTGGAAGACGAGACGCCAATTTGCGGCTTGCTTGTCTCCATTGCCCGAATCCAAAAAGCTAGCCCGCAAACAAAGGAATGTCACAGCTTCAAACCCGGACATCGGACCGTGACCCCAGCTCGGTGTTGTTTCACGCCAGCCAGGTACAGTGCAGTTTGCGTTTCTTTGAGACTCACTCCATGAGCTTCCAGACTTAAAACTGTTCCGGGATGTTGGTGGCAAACCACAAAATGGACTTGTTTTTGCCCATCCACTCAGGAAGTGAGGAGGACTGTTAACTTGAGGTGCGATCCCTGCGAGTCAATGGGCGAAGATCGCAACTCCGAAAACTCGTTTGGAACCCCGAAACGGATTCATCCACAAAGCCCCATGCGTCCAGTTGCCTCTGTAGAAGGTATCTAGCACATTCAGCGACTGCGACATGTGTGGATATTTTTTACTCGTGTTTCGCCTGCTGGCTGGCTTCAAGCAAGCGTTCCTTTTGATGTTGATGTTTGTACTCCTTGTGAGTGTGTTTGGAGGTCTTTTGATATTTTTCAACGCCAACACCGGGCACCTGTGTTGTTTCAC